TCACTTCTACTTCACATTACTTCATTCGTACTTCACTTCTACTTCACTCTACTTCACTAGTACTTCAATGTACTTCACTAATACTTCACTAGTCTTTGAAGTACAAATGAAATCCCGACTGAAGTAGAAGCGAAGTACAAATGAAGTACCAGTGAAGTAAATTGAAGTACGATACTTCACGGTATTTCAATCGTACTTCAATTTACTTTACTGATACTTCACCGTACTTCACATGTACTTCATTGTACTTCACTTCTACTTCACTTCTACTTCAATCTACTTCACTTGTACCTCAATCTACTTCATTGTACTTCATTGTACTTCACTGTATTTCAAAAACATTTTGAAGTAGATGAAGTCTCGCTTTTCCCCCCTTGATTTAACATCATGATACAAATAAAAAAAAAATATTTTCTGATTTTAATATAAACGTTGATATATGAATTTAATTTTAATAGAATAAAACTAATGATCAATATCTCATATTATTCTTTATTCAATAATAAATATAAATATTTTACTATTTCTATGTGATTTATTTCTCTTTTATAATTTAACCAATTAACTTATTTAACAAATAAAATGAATTTAGTTATGTAATAATTCTTATAATAGTATTTTTCATTTAAAAATTTTAAAAAGTTTATCAAACATGTTTTATTATGAAAAAAAATCATTACTTTCAATCATCGCAAATATTTGGTGTTATCATTCTTTTGGAGCTTTTCATAGCGAATCTTTTATGAGGAATGATTAAATTTCTATTATGTATCAATGCTGACATATATAAAAAAAACGTTTTAGAATATTCGGTTCGTTATCGTTTCTTTTTGTTCTTTATTCCTCTTCTTTCGTAAAACAAGAATCATCCTTCTCTTCATAATATTCACTCTTTAAATATTCAATGATATCAGTAGTACGTGATGAAATGAAGAGAATCAGTATTCTTCATGGCAAGATATATATTATGCCATAATAATATTGATTACCATTATGTTTAAAGTCTTTGGAGTAACTTTTCTTCGATTGTTGTTCTCTTTTCTTTCTGTTCTGTATGTGTCTCTCCAATGTTTTCTTTTTCTTTTCTTTTTTATCTGTTCTTTGCTACTGATTATATCATATTGTTTCGTGTTTGTTTTTATACTATATGGGAAGAGCTACTGTTGCATAGGAAGTTACTAAACTATAGTGGAAAATATTTATTCTTTTCTACCAAATAAGACAGAAGAAAGAGTATTAATCTAAATTGATAAAGCTTTATTTTTGCTACTACTATTATGGAAGGTAAGTTCCACGCTAAATCTTTAGTACGAATTATTTGAATATTAATTATCATCGAGAAAAAAAGAAGTGAACGATTATGAAGACACACAAATGAGAATAGTGATAGACATCCTCATATCATTGGCCATAAATTAATAGACAAAAGTTTGCTCTATAATATCAATTCAAGGATAATAAACTTTTTAAAAGATAGTTTGTACAGTGAATAAATGATTTTTCACGATATGTAAGTGTGATATGAAACAGTTATTATTTTCTTGTAGAAATCATATCAGCTCATGGATAATCATCGTTTGCGTGCTATTATATTGAAATTACAAGATCGTCTTAGTAATGATGATCGAAAACGTTTACACTTCTATCTTGGCAATGATGTACCACGACGAATAAGAGATGATCCAACACTTAGTGGAACACTTAGCCTTATGGATTCTCTTTTTGATCAAGATAAAGTGAATGAAAAAGATTTTAGTTTTCTAATAAATGCATTTGATGAAATTCAATGTATTGATGCTGTGAAATTATTAAGAGGTAAGTTTTTTATTTTAATTCATTCCCTATTGTATTTTATTAATCTAGAATATTGGAGACACAATCAATCAGATGCACAACATCAATCAGTTGAAAGTTTATCGATGATATTGCCACCAATGATAAATCAACTTCTTGGAGATCAAGATGACGATAAATATCCTATGCAACAGCGTAAGTGTTTAACTTTGTTTATATTTTATATTTCTTAAAAAATCTAATTTAGTTCTTGTTAATCAGAAAAATACTTGTGGTAATAACAATATAATGATCAATAGTAATAACACAAATATTAATCAAATACCAATAATGAACTGTGATGAAAAACCACAGCATCCAGAATTCAAAAAGAAACAATTATTAAAATCTAGAAAGATACTGTGGAAATGTTTATTACTATTTGTGTTATTATCGATTGTTGGATATGGAATATTAATATTTTTTTGTATTCAACGCTTCGAAACATTGAATAATAAATCCGTTGCACGAATTCAACTGTTGGAAACATCAAATAATCAATCTATTCAAGCAATTCAACAGTTAAAGCAGAAAATGGAACAACTCAAAAAATCACGTAATTATTATAGCCGCGTTGTATTTAAAACTAAGCTCAGACGATCGTGAGACAATGGCAAGCCACAATTTGCTGATTGCTTTTATATATGATACGGGGTAGTAAAATAAGTATCTCATAAAAATTTTAGTTCGATCGGGTCACTTTTTCTCACCCAAAAAATCATAATAGGAGCAAAATGTTTGATAATTCTCAGTAGTGATTTGCGGGTGGGTGTGGATTTGGTTGTCGTGGCATTATCTAAACCTACATCCACACCCTCAAGAAAATCTGTTTTGTTTGAATAAAAAATAATTTTTACTGTTTTTAATTTTTTTTAAAAGGATTTTATTTCATAAACCGTTTCATTTTACCACTCGTTTTTTGATTAAAACGTTTTAAGTCTTTATTCGTTTATTTTATTTTATACAAATTATTATCATTATTGATAAGTTTTCTAAAAAATTCATTTGGATTTCAAATTTTCATTTAACAAATAGTAAATTAACAAAATTTTTTCTAATTTCTTTTCTTTTTTCTTCGATCAAAAACAGATTTTGTTCTTTTTATTAAAATGTTTTTTTTTCATCATTTTCTAGGACCAACATTCAACAAATGGAAACAAAATGCCATCACCGTAGCTGGTGGAAATGGAGAAGGACAAAAATTAGATCAACTCAATGGCCCTGGAGGGATATTTATCGATAGAAATAGAAATCTTTTTATTGCTGATGGTTGGTTAAATCATCGTATTGTTAAATGGGAATATGATGCAAAGGAAGGACAAATCGTTGCAGGTGGACATGACAGAGGAAATGGAATGAATCAATTGAATCGACCAACTGATGTAATTGTTGATCAACAGAATCATTCGATCATCATTGCTGATTATAAGAACAGACGAGTGATTCAATGGTTAAATCAAAAGCAACAAATTCTCATCGATGATATTGACTGTTATGGCTTGGCAATGAATAAAAATGGATTTCTTTATGTTTCTGATCGTGAAAATAATGCAGTAAGACGATGGAAAATGGGAGAATATAACAATGAAGGAGGTGTAGTGGCAGGTGGAAACGGACAAGGAAGTGAACGCAATCAACTCAATAATCCTGGTTTTATTTTTGTTGATGATGATCAATCTGTTTATGTAGCAGATATAGGTAATCATCGTGTGATGAAATGGAGAAAAGATGCAAAAGAAGGACTAGTTGTGGCTGGAGGAAATAGTCAAGGAAGAAATCTCAGTCAATTGTCTTCACCTTATGGAGTAATTGTTGATAATTTGGATCAAATCTATGTGGCAGATTTTGGGAATGATCGAATAATGCGTTGGTGTGAAGGAAAAAGTGAAGGTGAAATTGTTGTTGGTGGAAATGGTACAGGAAATGAACCAAAGCAATTGAATCAACCCAAGGGTTTATCGTTTGATGATGAAGGAAATCTTTATGTAGTTGATTTGGGAAATAATCGAATTGTAAAATTTGAAATAATTTTATAAATATAATTTGGATCTTGAAAAGATGTTTTTATATTTGATTAAATTCTGTTTGAATATTTTTATTAGATGAAAACAATGGAATATTATCACTGTTTCGATTTAATAAAATTTAAGAATTGTTCTAGGGTGTGATGGATGTGGGTGTGAAATAAAAACAACATCTTGAGGGTGTGAATACGATTTGGATGCCGTTGTGTGTGGGTAGGGTTCGGGTGTAGGTGTGAGTATGGGTGTGGATTCGATCTATGAAGATAATATTCACACCTACACACACACACTCTCAATTAAATACTGATAATAATTGTAAAATAGATTAGAATCTAGAAAAATCTATTTTATATCAATGATGAAATAACATATTATGATATTAATTTGCTCTCAAGAGTAATGTATATCATGAAAAGAAAAAAAACGGAAATAACAACTATATGATAAAATAAATGCAAAAATAGGCAAAAAATAATAATTTCAATTTTCATAGATGAATACTTTTGAGATGTTCATGATATAGCGTTTATTACATTTCAAAAGGGTTCTTTAGATTGGTTAAATTATACATCTACGTTGTTTATATAGTTTAAAAAGTATATTATTTTACCTTGTAGAAAATAGAACAAAAAGTAGATCAAATAATTAACAAGTATCAAGAGAAGATAAATCTTCGTATAAACTAATTATTAACCTTTTTAGTTTTTCCCTATACTAAATAGTTACTGTTAATCGTAAACATTTCATCACTAAATTTATATACACTAAGAATATGTTTAATAAATTTTCATTCTAATTTAACTGCATCATGACTTTTGTATCGTCGAAGAATAAAACAGAATGATGCTGTTTACTAGAGATTTATTTTTATGAGAAACTAAGATGATTGATGATTAAGCAAAGGTAACAGTAATGATGGTCACTATAAGTCTACAAAATCGGATTTAGTTCAAAACTGATGAACTGAATTACTTGAACAGTTCAGTTTGTTCAAAAGAACTATGTCTATCTTTCATCGTTACTGTAGGATATGACTATCATAACTTGTTTCCACATCTTCAAATTGTTGTAATAGATTCTTTTTCTAATATTTTGAGCATTTTAATCTCAATTGGATTGTGACATATATGTAAAAATATGTATCCTCATCTAGCAACCAAAGATGATGATCTTCATATATCTATATGACGTTTAAAAGTTAACATATCATTTATTGTTTTATTCGCTTCTCATATCCAACTAAGAAAATGAGTTTTATATTATTTTCTTTTCAATTAAAACCTTGAAATAATCAGCACTACTTCTATTGTAATTAATGTAGAACAATTTAAAACTTTCTTTTTGCTTCGGTAAACGCATGATATATCGCTCTTTACATTTTCCTCTAATAACATTTTTAATATCGAAATGGCGTTTTATATTAAATATATAACTAAAGCACTGAATAATCGTATTTCTCTCTCTCTTTCTACTTTCTGTCATTTAGACTGTTCATAATATTTTATAATTAAATACTGCTCAATATCCACATGTTATACATCGGTTCTTTGATTTATTGTTAAACACGAACTAAAAGGAGTGTTTAGGAGTAGAAATTTGCACTCGCCACATACATGACAGTAAGTATTTCGTGTTTTGCACATTTTAATTCCACAGCGATTCCATGACACAGCTTTTCTACTTTATGTCAAAAAACTACAAATACAGATACGAATCTTCGACTGATTGATTTTTGTTCTCTTATGTTTTTCTAATAATTTCTTTTTATTCAGATTGTTGTTACAAATTAAGTATTAACAATTCAAGCATAATTGTCAAACACAAATTTCATATTATAATTTTATTATAAAATGAATAGTACGTATTTTGTTTTGTTTCATTTTTCATACTTTAATGCAACATCTTCAGATATTCTTCTAAAGTATCAAAAGATTTCGGTGTCAAGAAAGTACTCTGATTCTTTCTATTCAAAATTGAAGTGTAAAGTTCTGTTTATGATATTATCAACCTTTCATTTTTTTGTATTATGAGATTTTCTTTCATTCAGAAACGAATTCAGTAGTGCTCGTTGTTTTATATAAATCACTTTCGTGCTTTTTTTCTATTTCCTTGTAGAGACAAATACTTGTAGACGAGCTTTGGAATGCTGCCGAAAATTCAAACAGTACTGTCAAAATCTTAATTTATTTCCATCTGTACCACTTACAACTGATGAACATCAACTTAAAAATCAAAAAATATCAACCAGATTATACATTTCTTTGTTCACCTTATCATTAACAATTCTTTTCTTATATACATCATTAACCGACATTACAAAAACTATCACTGTTGCAACACCTACTCTTACAAAATATGAACAACTATATTCTAAGTATTCACAAACTCTTACATGTCCATGTAAACATATATCAATCAACTATGAAAAATTCCTTTCTATTGAATATACATTTCATCAAGTATGCAATAGTATTTTTATTACCGACAAATGGATTACACATAATGATGTGATTCTTCACTATTTATATACTAGCAACGATCCTCGAATAGTAGTTTCATATGCATTTCAAGCTTTAGGTGCATTTTGTGAGCTAATTGAAAGTACAATTAATAATAGTCTGATTCAATTTAATTCAACTCAATATATCACTGCATCTGTCGCATCATCAGAATTATTTAACTCACAAGCTCAATCATTCGTTGATCAGTTTAAATTATCAACAACAAATAATTTTTTATTATCCCTCAATATGATCAGAAAGACAACTCAAGGAAATGCTTTTCTTTCTGGTCAATTAACGAATTACTACTTAAAGGTAAACTCGGACAGTTCCAGTGTATCATCAACTTCGATAAGTTATTCTGATTGTAATTGCCATCTGTCAAGTACATGTGTGAACCAACTTTCCATTTATAAGAATGATTCTGGCAACGTGACATCATTCGACGTACCAGGTTTTTATGTAGGATGCTATGTAATTGAAACATTACTTCAATCAACTCTTCAGTGCTTTTATAACCAAAACTGTATAGATGAATTACTACTTTACTTAACAACTGCTTCGCCAATAAATGCAACAGCTCTTGATCCATCTTTATCAACCAAATATTCTGAAGATTCAACAATTGAAAATCTTCTTAATAATTTAATGATCGAAGAATGGAATCCAACACAAATATACGATCGATATTATAATGAATGTCAACCTATAGAATGTACTTATACTATTAAAACAAGAAATAGTGTAATTTACATTATTACCACAATGTTTGGTATTATTGGTGGTCTTATCACAGTTTTAAAACTTGTTGTGCCACGAGTTGTCAAGTTCATAAGAAAGAAGAGAAGTCGATTATCACCATCAAACATTGGTAAGACAAAGTTAAAAATTTTCTGTGATGTTTAACACATGAAATATTTATTGTCAATGCTTAGTATATTTAAATAAAATGAGAAGTTATGTAGTTCTAGTCAAAGTCGAAAAATGTTCTGTGAAATTAGAAGAGAAAATTTTCTAGTCGACTATCTGCTATTTGTTCTTTTAGCAATATTCATTTTCGAGCACATTTAGGGTGTGAATAAGAGTATTGTATTCAGCACACACCCATAACACTCTTAATTAGCAGTTCACTCATATATCTTTTATAGTAGTTCTACTGACTACTCACGGTCGCAATTTGTTTCCAATATTGAAAAATTATTTTTTAACATTAAATTTATTTCCATCTTGGCCACCGTCAACTGATGAACATAAACTTAAAAATCAAAAAATATCAACAAGACTATACGTTTCATTGCTCACCCTATCAATAACAATTCTTCTCTTATATACATCATTAGCTAACATTACAAAAACTATCACTGTTGCAACACCTACTCTTACAAAATATGAACAATTGTATTCTGAGTATTCACAAACCCTTACATGTCCATGCAAACATATATCGATCGACTATGACAAATTTCTTTCTATTGAATATACATTTCATCAAGTATGCACCAGTTTTTTTATTACTGACGAATGGATTGCATATATTATGATGTCAAATGAAGCTACATTCACTACTATTAACTTTCAATGGACAGGTTCAAATGCATTTCAAGCGTTACGTGCATTTTGTGAATTAGTTGAAAGTACAATTAATAATAGTTTGATCCAATTTAATTCAACTCAATACATTACTGCATCTGTCGCATCATCAGACTTATGGAAGTCACAAACTCAATCATTCATTGATCAGTTTAGATCATCAACAACAAATACTTTTGTATCATCTCTTAACACCATTCGAAATGCAACTCACGGAGATACTTTAGTCTCTGGCTTATTGACAAATATCGTATTAAGCGTAGGTAAATCCATATCTAATGAACCTCTTGTTTTTGCCGATACACCATCTTACTCTACCTGTAGTTGTGAACTATCAAGTAGATGCATCGTACAATCTACCGTTTTGGGTAGTTTGGTTAAAATGGGACGTTTTTATATACCAGGTTTCTATACAGGATGCTATGTAATTGAAGCATTACTTCAATCAACTCTTCAGTGCTTTTATGACCAAGCCTGTATAGATCAATTACTACTTTACTTATCATCTGTTTCGCCAATGAATGTGACAGCTCTTGACCCATCTTTATCAACCCAATATTCTCAACATTCAACAATTGAATATCTTCTTAATAGTTTAATGATCGAAGAATGGAATCCAACACAAATGTATGGTCAGTACTATGACGAATGCCAACCTATAGAATGTATTTATACTATTGAAACAAGAAATAGCGTAATTTACATTATTACCACAATGTTTGGTATCGTTGGTGGTCTTATAACAGTTCTAAGGTGCGTTGTACCACAAGTGGTCAAGTTTGTGAGAAAGAAGAAAGAATTAACACAACCACTCATCGGTAAGTCATAGTCGAACAAAGCATCTTGAGAGTGCGGTGTGGGTGAGGATGTAAAAGTAGATTCGACACACCCACCCTCACTCATACTCCCAGATAATTATGAGTAATCAGAAAAACATTGTTATATTGAGGTGTAGATATCAAACAGTTTCCGAAGATCTTTTTGTTTTAATATCTATACGGGCGAACAAATTAAATTTTATGAATTAAACTTAATAACTATTTTATCTATTTTTTTAAGTGATGAATAAAAAGGAACGTGCTATGATATTGTGGCGAAAATGCACAAACTTGTTGTTCAAGTTTAATTTATTTCCATCTGTGCCACCTTCAACGGACGAGTATAAACTTCAAACTCAACGAATATCAACAAGATTATATATTTTATTGCTAATCTTATTATCAACAATTCTTCTTTTATACACTTCATTAGAAAATGTTACATTGACTGTCAATATCGCAACACCCACTCTCACAAGATATGAGCAATTATATTCTAAATATTCACAAACTCTTATATGTCCATGTAAACATATATCGATCAACTATGAAAAATTTCTTTCTATTGAATATACATTTCACCAAGTATGCACTAGTTTTTTTATCACCAGCAACTGGACTTCATATATTACTAAAGCATATCATCCAACTTATTATGTTACGGACGACTTTCGACTGTCAGGTCCGTATCAGTTTGAAGCTTTACGTGCATTTTGTGAATTAATCGAAAGTACAATTAATAATAGTCTGATTCAATTTAATTCAACTCAATATATCACTGCCTTCGTAACACCATCAGAATTATTTCAGTATCAAGCTCAATCATTTATTGATCAGTTTAAATTATCAACAACAAATAATTTTTTATTATCTCTCAATATGATCAGAAAGGCCATTCAAGGGAATGTTTTACTTTCTGGAAGGAAAACAAACTACCAGCTAAACAAAGTAAACAAAACTTCTATTTTATACACAACTAGTCGAGTTTACGACAACTGCATTTGTGCTTTATCAAACACATGTATCGATAATTCTTCCCTTTTTAATGGCCCTTATAATTACAGAGTTTTCAATGTAACAGGTTTCTATGTGGGATGTTATACGACTGAAGCATTGCTTCGATCTACTCTCGAATGCTTTTATAATCAAACCTGTATAGATAACTTACAAATTTATTTAACATCTGTTTCGCCAATGTATGTAACAGCTCTTGATTCATCTTTACCAAGTCAATATTCTCAAGATTCAACAATTGAAAATCTTCTTAATAATTTAATGATTGAAGAGTGGAATCCAACGCAAATATATGATCGATATTATGATGAATGTCAACCTATAGAATGTACTTATACTATTATAACAAGAAATAATATACTTTATGTTATCACCACATTAATTGGTATAATTGGTGGATTGACAAGAGTTTCAAAAATCCTCGTACCAATATTAGTTAAAATCATCGTATATTGCTTTCGAAAATGGAGAAATAGAGTTGTTCCACAAATACCAATTATTCAAACGTGATTTTTTTTCTTCGCAGCGATTAATCATGTGTTCTATCAGAAACTGATGTGCAAATGAACAAGTTAAGCAGTTGATAGACTGAAATCTTCTAAATGACATTTTTTTTCTTTTTTTGTATTAGTTGAAAGACTTTACAAATAACAGATAAAAAAAAATTAACTCTTGAGATTGAGTGTGGATGTGATAGTATTATTCATAGTCCAATCACAGCCACATTCATTGTATTTCCAGTCAATTTTTATTCACTAGCAGAACAAAGATATTCAACATGAATGTCATTGTTTATTATGTCTATAGTGACAAATAGATCATGGACACCATGTTAGTCAGGAATCAAATTCAAGGGTAAATTTCATCCTCTATTCGTAAAAATGAATATTTTTAAGAAGAATGAATTTGACTTGAGAAAATATCAAGTTTACTTAAATAAAATAATACATATGAAGTGTAGGATGATTTATTTTTATTAAATCAAACGAAATATTGATGTCTATGGTTATGTTTATCATTATTATTATACTAAAGATGATTGATAAAAATAGATTACTCACAACTGAAAATTCTACATTATTATATTTCTTTCGATTTAATATAAATGAATCATCCTACATTTCATTTACGTTATTTACTAATTAAACTATTTTATCAGCAAATTTTTTTCATATTATATAAAGTTATTTCCTTGTTGATTACATCAATCTTACTGAAATAGAAAATTAGAGAACAAAATAATATGCACTTATCGTTTAAGTTAAATTGCAAAAGAAAATATTAGACTCAATAATATTCTAGTTTCGACATACATATTGTTTAGAGTAAAAGAAAGAAATTGTAAATTATTGTCGCTATATAATATGATTCACTGTATGTCTCAAAATCCTTATAGTTATCATTTAAACTGATTTTGACGAAATATTTTGAGAATCGCCAACCTTTACATTTCATAATACTTTTATAATTTAATAATCATTTGAACATTTATTTAAAGATATTCATATCATTTTCTTTTTGAAGAAAAACACTTAATGAATATAAACTGTGTGACTATACATAAACAAAAAAACAAATCTAATTTTCATTCTGAAGATATTCATGATATTCTCCACTCATTTTACTCTCTTTAACTTTCAACAATTTTTTATGATGAAGGCAATATCCTAAGTATTCTATATTGTCAGGAAATTAATTCTTTTTTTGACAAAATTAAAATGAGAGATGTTTTCATGTATAAATATTAATAGTTTTTTTTTCATATTTTTACTCAAAACTGTTTTCTTCGAATAGGCAGATCACAATGACATATCAATTATTGGTTATCATAGTTGTTATTAATACTATTGGATTTATTAATTCGACAATATGTAACAACTTTAAACTAAATATATTGATTTTGAAGAAGATTTAATTTAATTTTAGTATTTGTCAATGTATCATTCACTGCAGTTTGGGCTGAAAATGCGACAACAATAGCAGGATTATCGAATGGTACAGCTGGAACATCAAATAATACTCTCAGTTCTCCTCGTGGTTTAAGTATTTCAAGCGATGATATTTTATATATAGCTGAATCAAAAAATGTTCGAATAGTCGTAGTTAATTTAACTAGTTTACAAGTTATTAATATCATTGGATCAGGTCCAGGTAGTGCAATGTATCAGTTTGATCATCCTTATGATGTTATGATGTTATGATTGTCAACCAATCATTATACATATATGATTCATGGAACCACCGGATACAAGAATGGTCAAGAAATGGTACAGATCTATCGACGATATTAACAGGATCCTTTTATAATGGTTTTCATATATTTAAAGATAAATATAATAACTTATACATAAGTGCATATCATAGTCATGTTGTATTACGATTTGCACCAAATTCACAAATTGCAATAACAATTGCTAGTACTGGAGTTGCTGGATCTTTATCAAATCAATTGAATTCACCTAATGGGATATTTGTTGACGATAACCTTACTTTATATATTGCTGAACATCAAAATCATCGCATTTCAATGTGGAAATATGGATCACTTTCTGGAATCACAGTTGCTGGAACTGGAATAGCTGGTAGTAGTTTACAACAACTCAATGAACCTACTGATGTTGTTGTAGATCCATACGGATATATGTATATTACCGAAGAAGGAAATAATCGAATTGTTCGATGGAAACTTGGTTCTGACTCTGGCATTTGCATAGCAGCTTGTACTGGTATCAATGGAACTCAAATGAATCAGTTATATGCTCCTGTTAGCATTGTATTTGATAGTACCGGCTCATTATATATTAGTGATTATTATAATTATAGAGTGCAGAAGTTTCAATTTCTGTATAATGCAAGTAAGAATATGATTATTTTATTATTAGAAAAAGATTCTCTTCTAAAATTTTCTTAGATCAAACAACAACTACAGGTCAGTCGATTGCAACAGGTAATTTACAAAAGAAAAAGATTATTTAGATCTTACATTATTTGATCACTAATGAACATATAATTTTATTCTTAGTACCGACTACAAAAATAACAACAACAAAGCGCCGTTTAATCACGACTCCGACAAATAATAATCAAGAAATATCAGCATCTTTTACAATATCTGGAACAACAATTATGGGATGTTATCTTATATTTATGACTCTATATTATAACTACTGATAATAAATTTTACATTATTCATAAACTATAAAATATTGAACACTTAAATTTAAAATTTAAAATAAAAAAAAACAGTATCATTCAATTAATAGGCACAAATAAAGCTTTTATCATAGAATCTTGAGGGTATGGGTCTCTCTTCTTCTCTATCATCCTCGCCCACACCTTGTTCACTACTACTGGCATTCTTATATTTTATGATATGTGCACAATATTAATAATAAAAGTGAAAATAAAGTCAAATAATAATAAGATGAATGTATAATATATCCATTATTGTTCTCATTCACATTCTTGAGATCAATTTGTTTTAATATGTGATACAGACGAAAACTGAAAATTCATGTACGAATATTATTTTGATTTCATTCTCATCCAAAAGATTTTGATTATTCATTATTTGAAAAATTTCAATTCCTATTTCTTTACATTTGATCTCTGGTAAAACGCATACATGGAACTATCGGTTTTGATGTATATTCAGATGTAGAATGTATAGGTAATGTGATTTCGAACTCTAATAGACACTATATCAGATCAGAAATAAATTTAGTCATACAAATTGGAATATGAAAGACCATAGAAAATATATATATGAAAAAAGATTAATTACTAGAATTAAGTACGATTCTTTCATATTAAAGATCTACTGTTTGATTGTTGATACGGATAGAAAGTGGTAACGAACAAGTTATCTTGCATCATTAAGAGTTTTTATTAGAAATTTTTATTTAATCAATGTCTAACATTTGATTTAGAAATATCTTGTCAAATACATAAATCTTTTATTTATTACAAAATATTTGTATAATATTAAATAAGAATCCTATTGAAGACTAAAATTAAATCATATTCATTAATATTATCATCATTCAATATATTTTCAAATATTTAGAAAAAAGTTTTCACGAAAAAATATTTTTTATGACACTCAGTTTGTTTAATTATAATGGAAGATATTTAAAGATTGAAGATCTCAAATATAAATTTATACATATATTTATTCTTACAGTGAACAATTTTAATGTTTCTGTTATGATAATATTTCGATATTTCAAAATTTACCTTTTCATTGTATAATATAATATTAAATCGTAAAATTTAATATGAAAACTCAATAATTTTCAAAGAATAGTATATTTATTATTACTTTTCAAAAGGATATTAAACAATAAAAAGAGATATTTTTTCTTCTTTATGTAAAAAAAACATGATTTTATTTGAGACAATAAAAGTTGATCGCATAAAATCTGGTGTTTTCTTATCTCAAAAATAAAAAAAGCACATAGTTAAGTTTTACATTCTATATTGAAGTTGAATGTAGATGTAACCATTATTTTTTATTATACCACCACTGCACCCTCAAAAGGTATTATATCAGTTTTATTAGTCGAATTTTGTCATAAATAAAGAATTCTTTTACGACCGAACAATGCTTTTATTGCTATTGAATTATTACCTTTAGAACTATAAAAGTAGATAAATAGATATTCATTTCTTCTATCAACGTCTATTCAAAGACATGGCAATGGCAAGCAACAAAACACAATGTTTTAAATGCAAGATAGAAAAAATAACATATCCTTGTAAAGGATGTTCGAAAGAATTTTGTTTAATTCATTTAACAGAACATCAACAAATATTAAATGAAGAATTAAATAAAATCACCAATGACTATAATGAATTTAAACCAAAAATTAATGAACAAAAAGAACAATCACACAATTATTCAGTAATAAAAAAAATTAATCAATGGGAAATAAATAGAATTGAACGAACTCGACAACAAGCACAACAGTACCGAGAACTTGTCATTAAATCATCCGCACCATTAACAGTTATTAATGATATCGAAATAAAATTTAATGATTTAAGTGAACAAATAAAACAAATTCATAAAGAAAATATATTTAATGAAATTAATTTAAATTATTTAACAGATCAATTGAAGAAAATGATACAAGAATTGAATAACCCACCAAATATTTCTATCGCACTAGATTCACAATCACAAGTTGATGAAATTCTACTTATTATATCAAGAAGTAAGCTTTTAAGAAATAATTTTTAAAAGAATAATTCTCATTTTCTATGAATTTATGCTAAAAAACTATAAAAACGAATGAGACTATTATTGATTTATTTATTAACTAAATCAATAACAATAATATTAGTAGAAATAGAAAGCTTGACTTATTTGTATGTAAGAAGAATATTCAATCTAAAGATAAGCACTAGCGATTGTAGGTTAGAGTTGAACCGAAAGTCGGCACTTTGCACACACCGCTAGGAACATACTTTGAATAGTACTCAGTGAATAACAGCCAGAATGACTTGGGTGAAATTAAAGTGGATTTTATTAATTAATACTAGGGTTGAAGTGGTATAGAGTCCTAGTTGTTCATATCTGACGCAATTCATCTTCCTTGCTTTATTAAAGCTGCCAGATAATTTATTCTCACATAAATCGATGCGAATGAACGTATTACATGATTAGCAGTTCAAAAATAAATCAACAAAATGCTTTCATTTTCAATTTCTTTTCTTTTTTAATAAGATATTTGTCAATTTGTTTCTCAAATAAATTTCTTTCTCTTCAAAACTTTGATTCGGAAAAAATAAATTTTAAATTGTTTTTTTATTTATAAAATTCTTTTCAAGATTTAACTTTGACAAAAACAAAATCAAAGTTTCATTCAAAATTAACCTTTTCTTTTCTTTTTCTTTTCATCATTTTCTAGAATACAGATGGGACAGATGGAGGCAAATTGCCATTACTGTGGCTGGTGGAAATGATCAAGGACAAAAACTAAATCAACTGAATGGTCCTCAAGGAATTTTTATTGACAAAAATAAAAATATTTTCATTGCTGATCTTTGGAATCATCGTATTGTGGGATGGAAATGTGGTGCAAAGGAAGGACAAATTATTGCAGGTGGAAATGGCAAAGGAAATGGAATGGGTCAATTGAATGAGCCATCAGATGTGATTGTTGATCAACAAAATCATTCGATCATCATTGCCGATTCTGAGAACAAACGGGTTATTCGATGGTTTAATCAAAATCAACAAATTCTCATTAAGAATATTGATTGTTGGGGCTTGACAATGGATAAACATGGATTTCTCTATGTTTCAGATTGGAAGAATAATAAAGTGAGACGTTGGAAAATGGGAGAATATGGCAATGATGGAATTGTAGTGGCAGGTGGAAACGGAAAAGGATATCAACTCAACCAATTATATGGCCCTACTTTTATCTTTGTTGATGAAAATCAATCTATTTATGTATCAGATACCTACAATCATCGTGTAATGAAATGGGAAAAAGATGCAAAACAAGGAATAGTTGTGGCTGGAGGAAATGATCACGGAGAAAATCTCAATCAATTGTTCCATCCTCGAGGAGTAGTTGTTGATCATTTAGGTCAAATCTATGTGGCGGATTGTATGAATCATCGAGTAGTGCGTTGGTGTGAAGGAAAAAGTGAAGGTGAAATTGTTGTTGGTAGAAATAAAAGAAGAAATCAATTAAATCGATCGAAAGGTCCAATGGGTTTATCTTTTGATGATGAAGGAAATCTTTATGTTGCTGATTTTAATTATCATCGAATTGAAAGTTTTAAAATAATTTTGTGAGTGGAGTTTTGATCTAAAAAAAAAGAAAGGAAAATATTTTGTGATTTGAATTGAATTAAATAGAAATTATTCGAAATGAAGATTTTGCCTTTGATGGAATTTGAAAATTGTCCAAAACTTGAAAATAAATCAATGAACATTTTCATTCAGATGGAAAGAGAAAAAAAGAATTACAGAAGAAAAATGAACAAGAGATCGAAATAAAATGAAAAATAAATAAAAGTTTTCTAAATGATACAAAATTCATATTCGATTTTTATAATTTCAAAGATTTTTGGTCAAATAATATTTCTCTTCATTTCAATCTCATAATAAAAAGTTTTTCTTCAAATATATTTAATTGTAATTTTTTTTTAGTTGAGAAATGATTCGAATTTAAGTTTTCTCCTTCTTTGTCAAAAGAATCAAATTGATGTTTTTTTTGAAAAGATTCCGATTGTCTTCTTGTTTTTCATAGGAGTTTGATGAAAAGAAAAGAAATTTGTAGGTGTGAGTATTGTTTTTTTCACTTCTTAATCTATATTGAGATTTCTTGAGAGTGTGGATGTGAACAGCTGCGAAGACGCGGTTCAAGACTGGGTATGAGTGTGGGCTGGGCGTTGTTGGCTTATTCATCCACACCCACACCCTGACAAACGCTTTTTACTTAGATCGTCAAATATCGGAGTGAGTGTGGGCATGGCTTGGATATAGTTAAAAGGAACATGATACTCCCACAGAATTAGAAGTAATCCTTTTCATTGAAAATTACTTTTTCTTCTAAGTGTTTGTGCTATATTGAATAAATACCAATGAAAACATTCGCCTTTTTCTTCTTATATGTAAGTCAAAAGTATATCTGAAATTACATTTTTATTGGATTTTTATTGACTAGAACCAACACGAGTAGAAGAAATGAAATGGATATCAAATTTCAATTAGTAATATGTGAATAAATGCATCTGTTATATTTCAATTATATTGACTTAAGATATTATCTGTATTTTAGAAATAAAAACACACATTTTTTCATCATATTCTTTTATTTCAAAACCAACTATGAATACAATCAAGATACATTGTTATATTTTTTTCATTATTCTCAGGTAAATAATTATTGATTTTTATCATTCAATTTGTTAACATGCATTGATTGTATATTTTAGCATAACAGGTTTGATTTCTATTCTATATTATATGTTTATATGTATTAGTTTATCACTTTCATAGTTCAAATCAAATGTCAAAAAGTATGCAAGGAAACATCTCAATACGGTCTATGTTCGATGAATAGTGCATGTGGATGTTTTCATGTGTTAGGTGCTAATAATAATACAGGCATTTGTGGTTTTCGGTGGCCAACATGTTCTCGCCTTGTTCTATGTAATTCTTCAGACAACTCATGTTCTCAACCTGATACAACCTGTGTGAGACATCCTCAATGTAATGATCTTCCTATTTGCTATCCAGTTACAATGACTAATCAAAGTATCTGTCCACGAATGAAAAGTGAGTGAATCTTGGTGGATGATAGATGCAACATTCTTATTCACACCCTCTATATATTTGAAACGATAAATTTCATCTGTTTTAGATAACATCAATCTTAAGTGGGACCAAAATGCCACTACTGTGGCTGGTGAAAATGTATCAGGACAACAATTAAATCAACTCGATCGTCCTCGTGGGATCTTTATTGACGACAAGAAAAATATTTTCATTGCTGATTCTTGGAATGATCGTATTATTGAATGGAAATATAATGCAAAAGAAGGACAAATCATTGCAGGTGGAAATGGCAAAGGAAATGAAATGGATCAATTGAATGAGCCATCAGATGTGGTTGTTGATCAACAAAACCATTCGATCATCATTGCTGATTATAAGAACAGCCGTGTGGTTCAATGGGTGGGTGAAAAGCAACAAATTCTCATTCAAAATATTGTTTGTTATGGCTTGGCAATGGATAAACATGGATTTCTTTATGTTACTAATGATAGAAAGAGTGAAGTGAGACGATGGAAAATGGGAGAATATAACAATGACGGAATTGCAGTGGCAGGTGAAAATGGACTAGGAAGTCAACTCAATCAACTCGATCATCCTCGTTTTATCTTTGTTGATGAAGATCAATCTGTTTATGTAGCGGATATAGGTAATCATCGTGTGATGAAATGGAAAAAAGATGCAAAAGAAGGAATAGTTGTGGCTGGAGGAAATGATAAAGGAGGAAATCTTAATCAATTGTCTAGTCCTCATGGAGTGACTGTTGATGATTTTGGTCAAATTTATGTAGCAGATTGGGGGAATAATCGAGTAATGCGTTGGTCTGAAGGAAAAGGTGAAGGTGAAATTGTTGTTGGTGGAAATGGTTATGGAAATCAATCAAATCAATTGAGTCAACCCCATGGTTTATCCTTTGATGATGAAGAAAATCTATATGTTGCTGATTATGGGAATCATCGAATTCAAAAATTTGAAATAATTTTGTGATGTAATTTTGATTTTGAAAAAATATAAGACATATTTTACTGAATAAATGATTGAGAAATAAAACTAAAAATGAAGTTTTATGATTGAAAATTAATGAAAAAAGTCGAATAAAGTTTTGATAAGAAAATAATGAAGAAAAATCTTTTTGGTTTTTTTTATCAAACTTGAATTTAATTGGTAACTTTCATTCAGAAATTCGAATGAATAAATGTTAAATTCTTTCTCTTTTGTTAATTTTTGTTGAATTTTACAGAAGAAAAGAAAAGAAATATTTTATGAAAATTTGATAATAAAAATTGAATCGAAAGTTGATTTGTCAAAATGAATTAAATGAATATTTTTATTTAGATGATAAGAGAAAAAAATAAAATTTTTGAAATAATACAAAATTCAAATTTGATTTTTATTTTCAAAGATTTTTGATAAAATGAAAATATCTTTTTTAGATGGAATCGAATATGAGAAAATCCGACGTTAAAAAAGTTACAACATTTTGAATTAAGATAAAATTAATATAACTATTCGATTACCATATAAGATGCGTAATATATGATTTAGTATCGTGATCACATGGCAAATGAGTGTATGAATAATAATATACGGAATACTATAAATATACATATTGATACTTTTCTTTTTACACATGCGAAATTGCACGTCATTTATCGTATAAATAAAAAGGTATAGATAATATCTTTACGTCATACCTATGCATATGCTTACGTATATTTCTTTTTTCTCTGACGTCAATACTCAATATAACGCACTTAGAAAAAGGCCTATAAATACACTGATATTTGTATAATAAGTAAATCATACGTATTAACACAAACTACTATTCAATTCGTGAGAAAGAAATGTCTTCTTACTATCATCATTCAGAAAGACGAGAACAACGTTATGTTCAAAATCCTGGTATGTAGATGAAGAAAAACTAACGTAATATAACAGTATTGACTATTTGTTTTGTTTTACATTGTCTAGGTTCAAGTGTTGCTTTTGGAAGTAGAATAAATATTCCAGTGAGCATTGCTCCACCACTAAATGTGATCAATCCAGGCATAAATGGAGGATCGTTCATTGATGATAAGGGAAATGGTCTTCTATACTCATATCGTGAGCAAACCTATACTCTACCAGGCCGTGTGACCTATTATGAATGGAGTGGCTAGAAGTTTTGCACTTTGAAAGATATTGTAAAATAATTCTATAATTCTGCGAATTTTATTATAAACAGTTCTTTTTTTTTTTATAAAATAAAATCAATTGTATTTTTCACTATATTTACAACTTGGGGATAAATGCCAAGATTCATCTGTAATTTTTGTCTTCATTTTGTTGTGCATACCTAGTAGATCGATGAAGTTTGTGAAAAAGTGTTCAAGAATTTTCGTCAATCTGAAAGTTAAGACAAGTTTCGAAAGTGAACATATTTTCAATTGATATTCCACCTTAAGGGTGTGGGTGTTTGACAATAATAAAAAAAATAAATTTTACATTAAATAATAGAATATTTTCTATTTTTATATGATTTAATGTAACAGTGAGAAGATATCTCATCTATCGTTTTCTAATTTTTTTTCTTAATGAAATATTTGAAAATATTATTAAATAAATATTTAAAATAACAAGTCTTTTGAAAAATATAAAAGTTTTTTCATTTAAATATTTTTTTTTTGAGAAACTAATTTATCTGAATATAAGACAAAATAGAATAAAACAGTTTTTTCTTCTATAATGAATTGATATTGTTATTGAATATTTACATTTATTTATAGACTTTATATATTTTATAGTTTAGAAATACATTAATTAGAAAAACAATAAATATTAATTTCATGTAGAAATTTTACGGTTGTAATAAAAGATCAATTGAAAAAGAAAAATTTGTAATTAGAAAGTTACTCTTTATCTTTTATTTAACCGAATAAAATCGCTATACTCATGAGTTCTTTCAGTGAATTGTGCATTTCAGTGAATTGTGCATAGAACATATTAAAACATGTAAAATAAGTCTTTTTCGCGTCTCATACTCCATTATAATACAAAACAACTAATTCTCATCCTCAGCACGAACCGTTTACATTTTTCATAAGAGTGTTAATGGAACGAAAAAGAAACCATTGAAGTATTGATCGATTCTTCCATTTTTTGAGATACGTAAATTGTTTTGTTTAAGAGCAGAAAGAAGAAAAAACAGTCAGTCACTTTTAATATTTCATTTGACGAAGAACGTCCTTGCACACAATTAACAGAGAAAGGTAGGTGTTTGAGACATGCAATACATTAAATCTTTTGTTGTTAAAATAATTTTTTAACGATACAGTGTCTTTGGTGATTTAATACGCCTCTGTTTGTTATATTAAAATGCGTTTTGTACTAATAAATACTTTCAGAATATGTTCTTTACAGGAAATTCAATCAAACAGAGAAGACACATGTATTCAGTCTGGTGCACTGTAGAAAATAAGAGTTGACTAGTAAACCTGTACGGTTATAAAAATCAATTATAAATGCAGGAAGCATCTTGGGAGTGAACTAGGAACCGCTTAATCCCTTGAATTTCTCTCCCAGTATTTATAAAGTAAAGAATTCTGTTGGTAAGTTCATCGATAGAAAATCTAGTATATTCAAATGAGGTTTGTATATAAAAAAACTTAACATTATTTTACCTTTAATATAAGAGAAGCTCTGTACTATAGATTATCATCTCTGACGATTGTTTTAGGCATGTGTTGACGCTAAACAATGATTTTCATATCCTTTTGTCTATATTTCAATAATGTCATAATAATTTAAAGCGAATCGAAGATCTTCTTGAGGTATAACTACTAGTTATAAACCCACACCTACACCCTCAAGATCTCTATAATAATAAATGGGTCTCGTACTTATAACTTCAGAATGTTCTCTTCTTCAAGTTCTTTTCACAAAATCAGATGGGGGCGATTCCATCACACAATGTCTATAATATAGTTACCGTTTTTTAGGAAGAATAAACTAACAAATATTTCATCAGTAATGCATCTCTAATATTTGTTCTCAATTGATTTCACCTTTTCAGACCCACAATCAACATCACCACGAAAAGAAGCAACAGCTACAGTATCATCGCAGCCAACACTTGGGAAGTTACCTAAATCTAATCGACAAAACATGGAATTTGAAAACCCTCTTATTTACAAGAGTGGAGACGAAGACATAGAGCTGGCTACAAAACGAACGACTGCATATGATGCATCATTAGAATGCATAGTAAGTAGTGTTGTGTTTATGGGTACTGACTTAGTATTAGCACTGCATTTTCATATTGCTAAGTTTATCAGAAAAAGTTACGAGTTGGAATATCTATTTTAGAAAATCAACAAAACAGTTAATTGTATCTGTAGTAAATGTTATTCTCGTAAAATTCGTTTTGTGAAACACGATCAGAGAGAGAGTATTGAAGCTTTGCGGGTAGAAAGGAAGAAATCGTTTGTACATAAAACCATCTTGAGGATGTGGGTGTAAGTAGGTGTGAGCGCCAGATGAATCTCATACCCTCAATCACACTAACACCCACACCCATACCCTATGATAACAATCAATACTTTTTAAAGAACTCTAAATGAATCATTTTTTTAATATTTAGTCTGTAGCAGGAGATACAAATAATATTATACCATATGATCCTTCACAACCACGATCGTAAGTATTTGATTTATTTATTTGAAATATATATATCAATCATTTCAGATCTTTATTTCATCGGAAAGCAATATTGATTTTAATTATCATTGTCGTTCTTAGTCTAATAACTATCATTAGTATTACAATATGGGTTATTTTCATTAAAAAGGCCAAAACAACAATCAATACAACAACAATGAATGGTAGAGTTTTCTTATAAAAAAGAAAGTTTCAAAAATTAATTATCTTTCAAAAAAAATGCATTTTCTTCAAAATTTTTACTCTAAAAAATACAACTTTCAAATACTTTATTCTTTTCATTATTTTCCAGGACCAAAATTCAACAAATGGAAACAAAATGCCATTACTGTGGCTGGTGGAAATGGAGAAGGACAAGATCTAAATCAACTCGATAGCCCTTATGGGATCTTTATTGATGAAAAGACAACTATTTTCATTGCTGATAATCATAATGATCGTATTGCTGAATGGAACTGTGATGCAAAAGAAGGACAAATCGCTGCAGGTGGAAATGAGCAAGGAAGTCGGATAGATCAATTAAATGGTCCAACAGGTGTAATTATTAATCAACAAAATCATTCCATCATCATTGCTGATTCGGGCAACAGACGAGTGATTCAATGGTTGAATCAAACTCAACAAATTCTCATTCAGAATATTGATTGTTATGGCTTGGCAATGGATAAACAAGGATTTCTTTATATTTCTGATTCGGAGAAGAATGAAGTGAGACGATGGCAAATAGGAGAATATAACAATGAAGGAATTGTAGTAGCAGGTGGAAATGGACAAGGAAATCTACTTAATCAACTTAATTCTTCTAGTTTTATCTTTGTTGATGAAGATCAATCGATTTATGTATCAGATGAGAACAATAATCGTGTGATGAAATGGATAAAAGATGCAAAAGAAGGAATAGTGGTGGCTGGAGGAAATGGTGAAGGAAGAAATCTCAGTCAGGTGTCTTCACCACAAGGATTGATTGCTGATGGTTTGGGTCAAATCTATGTGGCAGATTGCAATAATCATCGAGTAATGCGTTGGCATGATAGAGAAGAAGAAGGTGAAATTGTTGTTGGTGGAAATAGTGGAGGAAATCAATCAAATCAATTACATTGTCCCATGGGTTTATCTTTTGATGATGAAGGAAATCTTTATGTTGCTGATTTTTTAAATAGTCGAATTCAAAAATTCGAACTAATTTTGTGAATGAAGTTTTTGTTAAATAAAAAATGGTTTGTTAAAATTAAATCAATCAAGGGCGGGTGTAAGTACTGATAATGAATGAGAAGAATACGAACACCCACCCACACACACCCACACCCTCAAGATCAAATACATTCTTTATACAACAAAAAATATATTTTCATAATTTAATAAAAATAAATAACTACAAATTAGAAAGTGTATTCTATTGTTTTTGTTTTATATGACGTACTAAACATGATTGATCAGATTGATTTTTTAAATTTTCTGGATGTTCTTTTTCATAATTCTGTAAGAATGCCCATAAAAGTTTAGCTGAGTTTATTTCTCCTTTACGAATTAATTCTATCAATTGGTGAATTATTGGTAACCATGAAAGTTTATAACGATCCCAAGCAAAACCAAATGTAATTGCATTTTGTAAATAGTCTATATTAAAAGAACGAAATGATATATCAAGTTTTTCTAAATGTGAATGAAAAAGTTCTTTTAATGATGTTAATGATATATTTAAAATAAATTCAATTAAATAACCTATATAAACATCATCAGGTGAATGATGTTTAACACAATTAATTGGTAAAATAGTTTTGTTAACATATGGACGAAGTTTTTCAAGTAATACACGAGAAAAACATACACCAGCACCATAAGTTGCAAATGTATACGTTCGATTATGTTTAGGAATTTTCAAACGTTTATTTATACTTGTTCTACCAATATAATATGGTTTAGATGAATCAATTTGAGATAAAAATTTATATAAATTATTCAGATTAACATATTGATCATCATCAAAACGACACATCCAATCAAGATTTAAATTTCTTTCAGTTAAATTATAAAATAATTCAAATTCATGTGAAGTTTTACAACATAAATCAAATATATTATGTGTTTCAGTACAATTTGTTTCAATAATATTTTTAAATAAATTTAAATTTGAATAATTTCGTATTTTATCAGTTAATAAATAAATATTTGATTGTTTAGCGAGATTTGATGATAACCAGCTTTGATGAAGATAATCTAAACGTGATTGACAACGAGATGAAGTACGAATAAGTATTATTGTTCGATCAATAATTTTTAATGGAAAAGAATAATTTTCTTTAGTTGTTATAATTGTGAATAGAAAGAAAATACTGATTAATATTAAAAAAATTATTATCAGACGACGTCGTAATGTATAACGATAATACATTGTTGAATCAATTGATTATAAAATGTTGCGAAGAGAAAGTATTTTCTTTCATATAAGTTTCTAAGACATATTCCTTCAACTTCAATTTGTAAATATATCTTTGATATCAGATGGTTGTTACTATTGAAAATAAACCATATTTTTTTCTTCCTTTCGTTGATATATTCGATGAATAAACCATAAAGAATCGTACTTTTGAAATTTATTTTCTATTATTGATTGAATCGAAACAATTCTTTTATTGAACGATAATTATTTAGTTTCTATACATAACACACAGCTCCGTAGACTAATCTTAATTATACAGTAAAATGGAGGACGAAAAAATGTACAATTCTTTTGACAGGATGTGTTATTTTATTTACGAGTATTGACTCTCCTATTTTATGACATCAATCTACTATTTTGATAAATTTGTTTCATACATATACTTAATTACCAGTGATTCGTTTTTTAGCATGTATATAAGAAAATTATAATCTTGACATTTTCTATGTACTTTAGAAGAATGACAATAAATCTTCGATGATTTAAACTTCTTTGCTACGGCTTATGTGTCACCATTTTTTATCGTATTTAAGATACTATTTGTTGATTAAAAATAATAAGCTGAGAACTATTAATTGTTGTGATAAGATATAAAATACATCTGAACATCTATTTTACATTACGTGAAAAATTGATTTTATATATTTTCTTTTTTTGAGGACAAGTTTTTCTATGCTCATGTCGATCGGCATATTTATTTACTGAAAGATATTACTTTCAATGTATAATATTTGATTATTGTATTGTATTACGAAAAAAATCGATAAGTCTGACAAGTACTAGTTGAAAGATTATATGCGATTTGCAATGCTTGTTAGAAGTATTATTTTTCGTTCTTTTCATACGTGATATTATTCATTTTTTCTGTCAATCATTGATACAAAACTCAAATCGTTATGTAAAAGATCTTAATAAATTATACTCTTTATATTATAATTATGTTTTATTTCCATCTATTCTTTTTAATTATATTTCGATTGATTATATTAAATGCAAATACTTCAATTTTTTAGGTAAAATTAATTGAAATTTTAATAATTAACTTATAATCAACAATTTTTATACATATAGTGATCTTTAATTAGGTTAAAAGTTTTGTAAAAAAACTTGTCTACTCTGAATAACATACAGAATTGTGAAAGTGCATATATTTTGTTTGAAATTACATAACTTTCATGATGTAACATACAACGTAAAAGTCTTTGATAAAATATCAAGCTTTATTAAATCAAATTTTGTATGAGACATGTTTTTCAAAAAAAATACTTTTTTCTCAATGGTATATATTGACTGATAAATTTATACTTGCTTTTTTTGAAAGAACCTAGAGTTTTATTGTTCTTTCTATTTAACTGTTCTACAACGAACAACAAACGATTTCTTGAATTATTTCTTTCTGTTACGCTTCAATAGAATAATGTACATAGGATTCAGTTTATGTATGGTTTTTGAAGGTGATGATTTAATCTCAACTCCCAAATTATTTTATTCAATGAATGGAGAGTCGGTCTAAAAGTTTCCGATCAAAGCTGATGTCGATAGAATTTTGAATGAGTTATTATTTTTTTGTTGTTACAATTTCTCCTCTATCGTTTAGAATAATTAGATCAAACAAAGTTGTAAGGATCTTTTTTGCGGTGTTTGATTCGTGACTTTTCGTTCTTCTGAGATTCTTTCTCATAATAAACATATCCCGTAAAAAATTTGATTCGTTGAGAAGTTGGCAACGTAATTTGATATTTTTGCTAAGACTTCTTTATACATATGAAAATTTCACATCAACTATAATTCGTTTCCGGGTAAAATTGAACAAAGACCTTTTTTGTTCTTTTCTCTCTCACATATGAAGTATTTTATCTTTAATGACTAGAACAAAGTTGTTAGAATATACAAAAAAAGATAAAAGTTTCTTTTGTTTCTTTTTATTACATTACATTAGATAAACTTCGACAGAGTTTTTTGTTTTTTTCAAATAAATGTCGCAACCATGTGCTATTAAAACATGTAAACGCACCTCACGTACTTTGTGTCATTGTTGTAATCAAAATCTTTGTCGAGACCATTTCGTTGAACATGATGATCTTCTTAACTCACACTTAAATCCATTAACGGATGAAATCAATGCATTAAGTGATAGACTTGCAGCAATCAACCTTAATAATATTACTGATGATTCACGTGAAAAACTCAATCAATGGTGTATTAATTGTCATAAAATAATCGATCTTGCCTATGAACAAAAATTTCAAGAACTTGATCAATATATTATTAGTAAATTAGACAAACTACGAACAGATATTACTGATTTACGTTTAATAATGAGTAGAGTGATTAATCAACGAGAAACAACAAAGCATGATACTTATTCTTTAACATCGGCTATTCATGATTTGAAACAAAACATGAATTCTATCGAACAGATTCAAATTCAACTTAATATTTATCCTTTACTTGTGAATGATCGTTTAATGCAGATCGGAAAAAAATAGAAAACCAACCGTTTTCTTTAGTTAATCTTCGTTCTCTATATCATATAATAACGAGAATAGGTTTTTGTTATAATTCAATTACTGGCAATGACCGTTATTTATTATTACATATTCATCGAAACTTATGTTTGATCGATGAAAGTTTATCAATAATTAAACAGTAAGAATGGTCTCATGAATATATTACAGACATGTGTTGATCATCGGCGCTGAGTTGTTTTATTTTATTAACAGGAAACGATATGTTCCTTATTAATGAAAATACAATGTCAATCGAACCAGTTCAAATATCGCAAAGAATAAATTGGAGAGGATATGAATGTTCTGATAAATCATTGTATTTATCTCGAGACGAGTGGGATTCATTAGTAATTAAGTTCAATCTATTGCCATCGTTTGAGTTGATAAAACAGTGGAAAACTACGTATGTAACTGACCAAAAACCAACGAATGGAGAGTTTCATTCAACCGTTTCGTAAAATAGATAAGAATATGAGATCTAAATCTCTATTTCCCTTCTATACTGCAATGACTGAACTATCATGTGTACATATGATAAAAGAAAAAAGTCCTGATGATCGTATTTCAAGAAGGTATAGATCATAACTAATCATATCGTAGCTTTGTATGAGTTCACATTTTATTAACATTCAAAATTGAGCAAAAAACAGAAAACACATAAAATAAACTAAGTATATTCAATTCGTGTTCACTGTAGCCGTTACTATTTCTGTAGGTATATCACTTTCCGCTTGCTTATTAAGTAACTTTTTAATAACTAATTCAACATCATTCTGTTGAAATTTATTTTATAATATTTCTATTCTATCGTTAAATGAATTCGATGAACTAGTTGATAATAAACCTAATAGATTATCAACTTTTGGTAAGTCTGGGTGTTCTCTACTAATTACTTGTATTACATCTAGAACATTCGCATCTTGAAATTGTTTATATATTTGTCCTTGATCATATTGCGAATGAAGAGATGAAATAAATACTAACTTAGCTAGATAAACTTTTGTGCGATATTTTATAAATCAAAGAATCGTGTTGATGTACCATCAGTTAATAAAGCATCCGCATTTTCTTCTTCATCTGTTATCATAACAAATGTTTTAATCACTTCGTTATTATCATAGTATGGTACAAAACCAGCTGCATTTTCAGTCGCACTATTAGCTGATGTTATCCATGCTAAAGTAAGACATCTCTAATAGTTTTAGGTGCGGATGTGGGTGTGATCTATGAAGAATAAAATATCGTCACCCACACCCACACACCCTCAGATTTAGTATCAAAAACAAGAGGTTTGTCAAATTCGATTTATTCAAGATTAACCTCAGAAAAAGTTCAGTTAGTTTGTTTCTTCGTTCCTATTACCAACCCAGAATTAACGAATCCATATCCGAATACATTCATCGTCAACGTCGTTTTCTCCAATGACACAGTTGGATAACCTATTTTGAAACCGGTTGGCACTTTTCAATGTCCAATAACTGATGCCTGTTTTACATCGAACATATAACGCTCGAAGATTGACCATTGAATCGACAAGATCGTATATGCATGTCTCATTTTCGACATCAATTTCAAGTATTTCACATTGTTCGCCTAATGATGAGTGACTCAATAGAGCACATTGCAAATTATTGTACCATTGGCGTCGGACGTCTCTTAAAATCAATCGACGCACTGATGAACTTCTAAGATTGATAACTAGTTTTTCACAGAATTTAGAAGGTGACATACCTGTACCGAAACGTAACGAATACAGACGAGGTGCTCGATTGAGTAAATTTTGTAATTGACTTTTATATCGTGGATCATTATTAAATATTGTTATATCAAGGTAAACCAAATGATTCAAGTTTGGGATAATGGACAAAAAGTGATTATTGAGAAGAGAGTCGATTAAAAGATAACGAACGTTGTTAAAGCGAATATTAATCAAATCTAAGCCATTCTGTTCCGAGGGACTATGTACTATTAGATCATGTACATGATTATATGATTGATAAAAATCATCATCATAAATAAGAATAGATTTTGATTGAAGAGATTGATGAAAATCAAAATAATCGAATGCGTATGGCAAAGTGTAGAGATAAACATTGTCCATACTTGATATCCAATGACATTGAATAAACCATCGATGTTCATCAATCCAAAATGGATTTTGAAATGGTTCGAGTAATCGATCAACTTGTGTTTTTATATCGAGATGTCTATCAGGTGTGAGACTCATTCGGAACTCCAGTACTTTCAGGTTGGGTAAATTTTGACCGATTATTTTTTCTAATTGATGTCCATCAATGCAAAGACCAAACGTACGAAATGTTAAATGACATAAATTTGGCATTTTTTCCACAAATTTTGCTACCATATTTTCTTCCGATGCAATAAATATAGTATTTAACATGTTTAGTGATGGGACAACGGGTAGTTCAATTTGATTATCCGGATTGAGTTGCACCGATGGAATAGTAAGATTTTTAAGGTGTGGTGTATGTTTGAATAACAGAGAAATTTTGTCAAGAGAATATGAACCACGTTTAATAGTAAGATCTGTAAGAGATAATGAAACGATTGTTGATACGGGCAAATCTTCTATGCATAAGTAGCATTTGGTAAGGTTAGGAAGACTCCAAATACTGTTCACGAAAGGAAGAATACTTTCTTCGCCATGAAAATAAGGTTTATCGTCAAAGGTTAGACTCAAATCAGTTAAATCCGAAGATAAGTGACATAATTCCGATAGAATTGATTTTTGAACCGATTTACACGGTCCACAATGTAATGTAAGCGATCGTAAGTGAGTAAATTGATGAAAAGATATGTTATGAGACAGAAAACAAAATAATTGATGTGGAGTGGCGCCATCATCCGACAGATGTATTGCAGACACTGAATCAAAAAACGATGGCAAATAATCTCGACAGATTATATCAAAATCATGTTTAGACATCGATCGAAAATCCATAACACGAGATTGAAAATACTTGCCAATGAGATTGTTAATACGAATATTGAGACCAAAAAAGGTACGGAGAAGATCAATGACATAGTAATAATCAAATATATCAAGTAATAACTCGTTGGCCAACGATTCAAAATTCATGTTTTTGTGCTTCTGCAGTACAAACAGATAGACCGGGAAAAAATAAATGTATATGACGAAAGTATTATTGCACAACCATACGATACTTTTCTCCTCGGTTTTGTTTGCACTATGAGTCAGTGCGTGTAGTATCCGATAGAAATGAAATTACGATGCAAATTTTATGTTTACTTCTACTGTGCAATAACATCTCTTTAGACAAACAGTTGCAAAAACATTTAGAAAGCAAAATTTCATTCTTCATGTTAACTAGTTTTTTTTCTTGATGTTTTATTGCTATTATCGATAATGAAATTATTTTTATGTCTTTTTCTTGCCCTTGGAAATTCAAACAGATATCATTGGCGTTTATTATCAGAACAACGTTTCTTCCAATGGCATTCGAACTCAATGTGAAAATTCTAATCTAGTGTGAACAGAAAATTTACTTAACAATTGAGTTTGCTTCAGTTAGAATAAAATAATAAATAACTATTTATTCACTAATTAAACTAAAGTATAGGTGAATACTTCAAGTTTTTGTTTTTCATACCGAAATTGTATAAATAATATATATACATATAGATTATTAAAACTAAGATGACAGATTATTTTTATTTACTGATAATAACCGTAAATTTATTAATTGTTAAAAGATCACAAATAAGATCGAAAATTTCATTCTTACGTAAAACTTCTTTACACTACCTATTAATTCTGTTTCATTGTTAATTTAAGTGTATTACAGAAAAATATTTTATCAAATCTTCGATCAATTAATTAATGAATATACTGATTTATTAAAGCATTTTATTTGTTTATGGTCGTCAAAAATAAGTAAGGCACTACTCTATTAGCAAACTTTTAATTTTTACAGATGTTTTATTAATCTACATCAGGTAGTTTCGGAACAGAAGATGCTGAAAAAATTACAATTATTATTCTTGGCATCGATAATGGTGAATTGTTATTTTATATGATATTCACTTATTAAAAAATGATTTACAAACATGTACATCGATTAAACAGAATTATACTTTTGTTTTCGAAAAGCAAGCTCAAATACTTACATCCACGTTTTATATCGTTCATACTCATTTATACTAACATTACCAGTATCTGTTGCATCGAATGAAAGAACGTTTAGTCGTTTAAAATTAATAAAAAATCGTTTAAAAATGAAATTTCTAGAATATAACACAAAATTGGGCAACTCAATTCGGAGATAAAACCAATTCATTTCATTTTTAAAAAGGAAACCGTATGTTGAGATTTCATTTATTCTGATTAATATAATAACAGAAAACGGAAATATCAATTAAGTTAACTCTGATTCTGAGATGATTTGCTTGGGTCTAATATAACATCAGGATTTCATCAGAAATGATGAAAAATATGTAACAAACTCAGTTTTCTCTTATTGTTCTAATTTCGTGACAGATTTATTTTTCTTAAATTAAATCGATTCATCATATACTATAAATAATGATATTTATCTAGACTTTCAATTAGAATATTTGCTCAGAATACTAACCATATGAAATGAAAATAAATTCGAATTGATTATCAACAAGTATGCTGTAAGAACAAGTAAAAACACCCCATATATAGTAATGTTATATCACCTAAGAAAAATATCCAAGTCACTATAAAGGATTTACATACGATAAACGAAGTCTATTGCTATATATATAAATCTAATATTCGATGACAGATACCTTCATATGTACTATCCGACGAAACAATTATTGCTCGAACAAAACTATATGTCTTGTATTTTTATCGTAATAATACATGAACTTATTCTTTTTAATTGATGCCTTTCGATTACTATCAAATTTTAATAATTGATAGTTAGATTTCAATGAAATAGAATCATTCGATATATTCTCATTATGTTAAAGATTTGAACATAATTAATAAATATATATTAATAATTAAATAAAAATTATAAATCATTTTTGAATAAAATATAAAGCAAAGTCAAATATTTGAATTAACTAGAACTTGTTGTTGGGTGGGTTGTTGTTGGGACATTACTATCACCAACAGATGTTGATGTCAATAAGGGTGGTTTTTTCTCACGATCATTCATTTTTACTCGTACCATTGCATCCATAATCCATTCTAATGATTGAGTTACCTTATTATATATACAACACCTTTATGAATGATAGAAAAAAAAATAACTAGTATATTACCTTTTGTGAGAGATCTTGCATTTGTTTATCAATCTAAATAATATTTCAACAATAGTCTTTCAATGATTTTTAACAATAATTATTTCTAAATTCATGTTTTTTCTCTTAAAATTTCAAAATACAACTCAAAAAAGTAAATTTTCTGTACGATCAATTTGAATGCTAACATGTTGTCAGTAAAAGAATAAAGATTAAATTTAAATGTACACATAGAACATTACTCATTCATTTTTGCTCGATACTTTAGAATATTTATGATGAAAATTCTCAGAAGTTTGTTTGCTTACTTCATTTATCTTTCGTTGTTGATCAAGATTTGCTTTCATCATCTCAGATCTATAGAAAAAAAAATGTTATAAAAAACAATCACAAAATGATGATCATACTCATTCGTGCTAGTTGTGCTATGTGTATGGTCATCGTCAGATAACAGATTATCATTCTTTGTAGCCTTTTCCACATTTGATCGAGCACAGTTGTGAGTCGCAGCATTTTCAAATGCATCCCAACGTTCGTTTGTTGTATCAGTTGCTGCGATCATTTCTAAGTTATTTTGTTATGTTTATTGAATGAAACAAATCGTGTTATCAATCTTACTAAAATTACGTAATAATATTATTGATTTCGATGTATGATGATTATCTTCAGTTTCTGTACGGGACAATTTTGAATAAATATAACGAGCAAGTAGCATAATATGTGAAAATACGATTAATGGTGGATAAGCGCATGGCGGTTGTTCAAAATATTCACAAATAAACGAATAACGTTGATATCGCCAATAAAATTCTGTATTTTCTTTTACTTTATCAATTGTATCACTAAATTTTCTAATTGGTTGTCTTCTATAATAAAAAATGAATACTTACGTAAAAACAGCAATTAATAAATTCAATATAAGAATATTAATAAATAACATATGAAATGCTAATAAAACATGTGTAGCAGTAGCTTCAGCAACAAGTGACTGTGTACCATTACTGATTATCTCTAAATAAATATAAATAAAAGAAAACATTATATAATTTTAAACTAGAAGAATCTTTACGATCAAGTAAATCTTTATCAGATACATCTCCATATATAAACCAGTATGGTTCATAAAAGATTGATCTAAATATATCACTACCAGTAAATGGAATTTGTTGATAAAGAATTAATGCACGAGATACAACACCATATGCAGCTATTGCAATGAAAATCATATAGAAAAAAGCAGCTAGATCACGAAGCTATAAATTCATTCATTCATATATCGCATATCTTATTTAATATTAATATACAAACCATATTTTTAAGCATAAATAATTTGGGTCCTACAGATTTTAAAGCTACAACGAATCTCAATGAGCCAAGATACCATAATTCAAGGTCAAATGCCCATATAATCCTACAACAATACTATTTATCGTATATATTACTCGTATGAATAAACAAACCTTCCAGCAGTAAAGATTTTATCGTCATAACCAGCATATCGAAATATTAGACCAAGATAAAATAAAAGATATGGTGCGATATAAAATATATTTGTGAGAGTTGTTAATATAGTTGATCCTGTCGAACCCCATTGTTCAATCATTCGATATTTATATTCATGAGTAAGCTTTATTAAAAATTAAAATACATGTTTTTATTCATTAAAAATAAATTTCTTCACTGTACCTTTCGAATCTCTTCACAAAACATAGTGGATACTGTAATAATAACATAGATTTCAGTCCAATGTGGAATTCCTAACGTATCTGGATTATTTAGCTCATAAAGCATCATATAACTAAATACAAGTAAAAACCAAATATAACTTATCTAAATAAATAAAAAATACATGAAAGAATTAATATACTTGATTTACTAAAAGTTTATTTACAAAATGATAACACATTCTAATGAATGGGCTTCCATGAAAATGGTAAAAGCGAGTCCAATATTTTTTAAATTCATTTTTAATTGGTTCTTTATTTTTAGCTGGTTCTTTACTTTCAGTTGATTCTTTATCGGCATAATAGTTGATACCTCTTGTTGATAATCTAAGTAAGAAATGAAATTAATTTGACAAAAAAATAATTAATATCTATTTACGATATATCTTGCATATCCTAAAGATCAAATGAAATAGAATTATTAATATAAAAAAGATTTTCATCTACATACAATTTCCTTTTTCCTATACGGAATTGTCACTGGTGCTGTAAGTCCAAAAGTCATTATGGATAGAAGTTGTGCCGGTCTTGTTAATGTTTGGTTATTTTTCATAGATAATTTATTGTACCATACTTGAGTTAGTGTTTGATCAAAACAAGCTGTTCCAACTAGTTGAATATTTTCGCTTGAGATAGCAATCTAAAATTATGTTTGAATATCGATATTGAAAATGTTTTAATAGATAACCTGCATGCATGTAATATCACCAAAGAGTGGTATTTGTCGCAGAAGTAATTCACATGCTGATCGTTCATTGTATTTGTAACAGTCATTAATAAAATCGGCTGCATATTTTCCAAAGTCATCTGCTTGAATTTTAAATTTTTCTTTGAGATCAACAGTTAACGACAATTTCGAATATCGTTTAAATATAGCTGAAGCTATTAAAGCAGCACATATACGAGATTGTTGATGAATGAGAAGTATTTTTGCCATTTCAGGCATATCCATGAATACAGACCATAAAAATAAATCACGTGACAGTTTGTTTTTTTCAAGTAAATCTTTCATATCCTTATTTTCATCTGAACCTTCCGTATCATTTTCTTCGCTTGAAACTTTCTTATTATTTTGTTGATCCTGAGGTTGAATACCTTCAACTTGCGGAGAAACTTGACTGCTCTTTGAAGTACGATGCTTTGTTGCACTATTACAGCAACTACATACATGATTTGTCAGATCAATACAAATACGTTTTGTATATGTATTATATTTTTCAGAATAGATTGCTCCAAAAAATGAACCGATAAATTTATTTAACTTTCTATCAAGTGTTCTTATTGTTTTTACACCTGATTGACCAAATAATTCTTTTATATAGCTACGATTGCTCTTTAATAAAAAGAAAAAATTTCATTGTAAGAATTAGTTTAGTCTTATAATCATACCGTAGGTATTTCCTCATAAGTATCTTTATATAATTGTACAAGCATAGTATGGCGGTCTTGTTCAACACGTTTAATACCAAGAAGTTTAAATGGGTCAAAACCAGCAGCATGAAAATATTCAACAAAAACTGGATGATTTTTTATTAATGAATCTCGAAATAACTTTTTGTAACGTTCCATATCTTTCTATTATAAAAAAGAAACAGTAAATTCTATACTATTAATAAATTTTACTTTACTTCTTTAGTCTCGTCATTATTGTTCGTAGTTTGTAGTCGTTTTTTTAATATTGATAAAGCACCATCGAAATAGTTCCATTGAGATGCCAGTTCTAATAAGATATCTTCATCCTTTGCATTCTGTTCATCTTGCTTTTTCTGTTCCTTTTGCTTTTTCTGTTCATCTTGCTTCTTCTGCTCATCTTGCTTTTCCTGTTTATCTTGGTTCTTCTGTTCATCTTGGTTCTTCTGCTCATCTTGCTTTTCCTGTTCATCGTGCTTCTTCTGTTCATCTTGCTTCTTCTGTTCATTTTTTTGTTCACTACTAATACTGATTTCATCTTGTTTATTTTTCACTTTAATAGAAATAGAAAGTAATTTAATTTTTATTTGATCTCAATACATACTAGTAAAAATAGCTTTAAATATTGTTTCTGCTACACTTTTATCACGGTCCATACGGAAAACATTTAGTAAATGACGATTCTCTTTTTTTAATATCTCTTGTATTCCTTTCGTTATTCCACTGATTTCAGCTTTATCGAGACTAGAAAAGAACTCAGTCAGAGCTTTTCTCACAGCTTCATCTGATGGAATACTAAAAATAAAAATATAAATAAATATTTCTATCATCAAACAAATTCATGAACTATTTAATCAACTCACAATTGTTGATCAGTCTTTGCATCAGCTGTTTGATTGATTAACGTAGCAAATACATCTGCTAAACGGCCACTATCCTACATATAGAACAATATAATTCTTATTTTCAATAACATATACACACTTCAATAAATACAATCGGTCGATTTTGTTTTATATCATTTTGAAGAACTTCAATAGTATTCTTACCACCTTCAACAATAATTGTTACACCATAACCTTTCAATATTATTCATTCAAAACAATTATGATATTTCAATATAATACATACATTTATGATCTTTATATTCACATGCTTCTTTAACTAAAGCATCTCGTTGTCCGTCATTTAAATAATCACCTAGTTTACCATCGTCAAACAGAATACAATGTGTATGATTCTTTTCGATAGTTTCGTCAGTATCGGCATCATTATCAGAAATTTGTCGATGGCATAGCACTCGTGGATAGCCCTATCAAATAAAACTATATATGTATTTAACAAACAATGTCATTTTATTGATACTTTAGTTGTATGTTTCAATTCAAAACGTGTACTTTCATTGATTGTTCCCCATTTTGTTAGTCCAATACAAACAATTTTATTTGGATTAGCTTTCAATAAACGATAATGAGATATTCCTTCGCCAATTAATTTTGATACACCATTATTAACACCAGTAGTTAGAATCCATGCATCTTAAAATAACAAAAAAGGTATGTATATACGGATATATATATCTATATAATTTACTAGACGTTGCTGCTGCATCAATTATACCACGTATAATTTCTTTTTCCAGTTTTTCAGTCATAGTGAAATATTTAGCACCACCATAAATACTTAAAATGAGACCTGGTTTTGTATCTCCACAATCATTAACAAGCAACTCATAGATAGGCTTCATATTTGATTGATTATTAATTCGAATATATTTACAACCAATAGATCCAGTGGATTTCAATGTTCCGTATATAGTCACAGGAACAGTAATAGAATATTTGCGCCCAAATTCCAGTGAAGAATTTGATGTTTCAGCATTGTTATCGTTTGCATTTAGTGATAAGCATTCACCATTAAAACTATGACGTTGAACTAAGCGACCACAACAACATTTCTTGTTTGCATCATCTCGAGGAGTCTTTACTTTTTGATTACAAAGTCTACAAGTACGACACAGGATTTTGTCACCTGCGATAGCATCGTCAATCAATTTTTTCCATGATTCTTCAGATCCCATCTAAAACACTCTACATATGGTTTTTTCTTTTTAATAAAAACCAGGTTGATAGATGTTACATAGTAGTATGAAGTTTAATTTAAAAAAACTTCTTTTTTCTCGCAGAAGAAATGAGAGATTGAATGGAATAAGATACTACCATACAATAATATATGTTATTATTAAATTTTAATAATATTTCTATGATAATATCTTTGATCATACCAGAGTTTTGTATAAAAACAATGGTTGATTATTGGTCCATCATCATGGAAGCATATAGCAGCTATAGAATGAGAATATATTTCAGCGTTGTTACTACACAAAAAAATTATTCCTTGACAGAAAAGAAACAGAAAAAAAATGCATTGAGTATTTCAATTATAAACAGTGTCTAGACGATGTTAAATTTTAAAGTAACTACAATTTTTAACTGAAGAAATGATAAAATGGAGATTTTTTATCGTTAGAAAACATAGTCGTAAGACACAGATAATACAACTATTAAACATTTTACTATTAAAAAACAATAGATGTGATATTTTGTTTTACCTAAAAACATCATCAGACACGATCTAACTTTTTCTTTGACTTATATCTGCTCGATGATGTTCTTATATAAGTAGAATGAAACATCACATCTATTGTTTTTTAATAGTAGAATGATTGATAGTCGTATTACATGTGCTTTATGAATATGTTCTCTGACGACAAAAATCTCCATTTTTTTATTATTTTTTCAGTTAGAAATCGAAGCAACTTTAAAATAAAACATCGTATTGACACTGTCTATAATTGAAATACTCAATGCATTTTTTTTTGTTTCTTTTCTGTCAAGGAATAATTTATTTGTGTAGTAACAACGCTGAAATATGTTCTCATTCTATAGTTGCTATATGCTTCCATGATGATGGATCAATAGTCAACCATTTTTTTTAATAGAAAATTCTCTGATATGATTAAGGATATTATCATAGAAATATCATTAAAACTTAGCAATAACATATATTATTCTATCATTTCTTCTGTGAGAAAAATAATTTTTTTATCAAACTTTATACTACTATGTAACATTTATTCGATCTCGCTTTTATAAAAAAAAATAATACATCATCTTGAGGATGCGGGTGTAGATTGAATAAGAAACGGATCCACATCCATTCTATAGATGGTATATAAGTACATAAAAAATTATCATAATTCAATGTTTAGAAAAAGAAAGTCATACGATTTTATATGACAGGTGATAACTGAACGAGATTAAAAAATGTCTCTTTTCATAGTGAACGTAAATAGTAGATAAATGAACATTAAAAATCAGCTTGATATTTCAGTATTTTGAATAGTGAATAAAAGTAGATTGAAAGGAATAAAAGGCGATAGTCATATACTTATTTGGAAATTAGAATATGACTATTGATTCAGATGTGAAAACAAAGAATAGAGTTCAGTCTAAAAGATATCTAATTAATTTGAAACTAATAGCAATTAGAATAAATATTAAAGATGATAATGTCTGAGCATTCAATGTATAGATAATATGATTATTGAACTCAAGTTAAATAAGGTTGAAACCAACAATATTATCATACCAATGAATACTGTAAGTAAAGTGAGAAAAAGAAAATCGTTTATTGTATGGCTATTGTAATGACATAAGCATCAAAATCAGTCATATCGAAGTCATTGCTATATTTTTGAATCGATGTTTTAGTATTTTACTACTATCATTTTCAATACTTGTTTCTTCGAACTTTATTACTTTTAATTTAATATATACTACCTGTTGATTTTCTAGAATATGATTAGTCTTAAATTATAAATTCTTTTATATGTCTTCGATGAAAATCTATCACGAATTTTATATCAGTTAAGCAGTCTAAATTCTTAAATATGGTATTTTATAAATAATTATTTGTTTGGCAAGATAAATTGTTTCTTGATGAAAATCAATAAACTTATTTGACAATTATTTCAATGAATATGTAATTCAAATTCATGTGCTACATTTTTTTTTTTGAAGAAATTATCACTTCATCGAATGAATACTTGATATAATGGTTTTTCAAATTCTCTTACTCTCTCATTCACTTCTTATTTAAAAACAAAATTCTGCTTCACATCATCGAATGACGATGTGATTATGATTCATTCTTCTTCATTGACATTTATAATCTTTGAGATTAAAAAATATGAATTAATATACAAGAAAGAAAAACGGAAACTATTCATTATAGCATGTTTCACAGTCATTAAATTTGATTTACATGACATTAATACGATTTTTCTTTGGCCATACTTCTGTTAAACAAATAATGCATACAAATGGCATTAGAAGTTGAACAAGATATGGTGTGTAATTTAAATAATAAAAAGTTATGTCATCAATAAATGTTGGAATAAAATAAATTCGAATAAGTGATACTAAAGCTAATGGTGTCCAAAATAATAAATAAAGTGTTGAAATAATCAATGATTGTATTGTCATTTTTCTTGCTGTTCGCCATTTTAATATACGTTTTACTTTCTTTATTTGTACTGTAACACGAACTAATAAACTTATATTTATTATTGGTATTAACAATGATGGAATTAACATATTTGTCATCCAATCAAAACTTGATAACCATGTCACATTATTATAACAAATAGAACCACAAAGAAATAATGAATAATCAAAATTATTATCACATTGATAAAGTATAACACATATAAAATAAAATATTGGTATATATATTGTAGAAATTATTAATGGAATATAATGATAAATCCATTTTCCATAGGATGTTTGAAACCATTTAGAATGAAATATAAAAATATGTCGTTCAATTGATGTCCATGTCATTAATGATAAATTTGTTGTTTGAAGAGAAAAATTATACCAAATCCAAAATAAACAAAAACTCGAATTATTTGGTTTAACATAACCTAAATGAAGATATTGAAGTGCAATTGGTAATTCTGTTGTTGTTTCAATTAATGAAAGAAGAATTAAACCAATTATTGAATGATTACGTAAACGTGAACGAAATTTTCTGTAAGAAAAAGTTATATAAAGAATATAAATTGATATTAAAACTGATGGAACTTCTAATATTGCAAATAAACATAATTTCATATAACGATAAAGTATTGGTTCAGAAGATATTAATATATCGGTATATGTTTCATTCATTTTATTGAAGCATTGACTACTATTCATTGTCTTGGTTTGTTTATTCTAAAATGAAATTGTAGCTAAAGACCATTTTTTTTTTAATTATTTTATAAAATAAAGAATATATCTGACTATATGACGTTAAGAAGATTGTTATTTTCCATTATTTTAATGAGAAAATTATCTTCCACATAAGAGATTCTCAGTACTTTACATGATGATTATTTCATTTCATTGTTAAATTAATGTATTCCATTAAAAAAATAAGATTCTTCAACCGTTTTATTGTATATTCAACAAACCATGAATGCACATGATGAACACGTAACAAAATCTGAATTTAAAAGATATATATTCTTTGTATATTATGTAGAAAGGATTTTAATATCTATGCAAAATTATATTCATGAATAACTTGTATCTAAACATTCTGCTATATCGATAAAAACTCTGACATATGACTATCATCTATCAACTAAAACACAATAATCTATATTTTGTTCTTATGTTAGACGATCTTTTAAACTAAAGATGAGTAATAAAGCAAAATTGTTCCATCAAAATAAAACAGTTTGAAAGATACAAAATTTACATCGTTTTCACTATTTAGATGAGGGTAAATAATAATATATTATGTGTCTTACATCTACAATTCTTAAAATGGTTCGATGGTTTTATTAGATATTCTAATAAAGTGAAATCATTTTTAAAGTTATTAAGGAATATTTTTAGTATCTTTGATATGTTTTATCCTTAGGTCACAAACAAGGACATGTTTTTGTGCTCTTTGGAGTGAAAGAAAACATTTTAAAAGAAAACAGAAATAGAATTCCTTATTCCGTTATATGTTTCTTTCATTCTTTACTACAAAACAAATTATACGATATATAATAGCCTTAGCTTTTAACATCGTTTATTCATGTATAAAAATTTTGTTAATTTATTTCTTCTCGTGTACATAGATATTACACTGATCTATAATTCGAACACATCTATACACCCACACTCCTAGTCAAAAGCATATACCATACAAGAGTTGATAAGAAAACTATTATCTGACGTATCCTTGATGTTGATCTAGACAATCAAGATTTTTGTAATGACCAGCAATGTAATCAAATAATGAATTGAAGAAAAAACAAATGTGTTTGATGAACATGATTTTCATTTTATTCAATGAAATTAATTACATATATATAGAAGAATTATGGAAGAGAAATGACTGAATGGGAAAATAAATATAATATTCTATGGTTTGTGAGAAAAAAACCAATATGCAATGTATTTGTATATTTTGGACAAATTATTTAACAACTTAGTAAAATCTAACAGAAAATATAAATATATTTTTTTGTCTAACACTTGTGCGAACGATTCTGTTAATTAAACAAAAATAACACACAATCGATATTAGTAAAAGAACAAAACGATTGATTGATAAGTTATAGATACTGTACATAGTGAACTAAACTTGACTAAAATCAATGATTTACAGAAACAATGTGTTTTTCATATGGCTAAGTATAATTACTGAATAAAAATAAAATAAATAGTAGTTACTTTTTTTGATATTTGTGCCAACGATAAGAAAGAGAAATAAGTGTAAAATAAAACTGATAAAAAGTAAATTATTATGGCAAGCTTTAAGTTTCTTTAATTATTAGTTACTTTTTCTTTGTATAGTCTATATCAATCTTTCCTCCTCTATAATTCAAAAATCATAATGTCATTCTAATTTCTCATCTTCTTCTTTGATTTATTCTTTCGTTTGATATTGCGACGTAAATATAGATCAGGTTAGACAATGTAGATATACCGATATTCCTTCTTCACTTACACCTACACTACACCTTCAAGATGAAAAAGAGCTGAGCGAGTCTTCAGACGGGCGTTATCTGTCAAACAAAGTATCGCCAATTGGCGTCATCTATAATAATAAAATTCATGTCAGAGAACAGCCTAAGATTTCTAGCAATAGGAATTTCTTGTATGCAGAAACAAATATCGAAAGCTTATTTTAGCATTCTTCGTCAATTAACTTTCTTAACGAATGATCATCTTTTTATTCTCTATGAGTCTATCGGTACACTATGGAAAAAGAAAAAGATAAGCATACTACGATACTACGTTAAGAATAAATGTATATGCTTTTATCGTTGTTTATGTATTTTGTCTGTGCACATATATAAAATATACGTGTTCTCTTTCGCGCTTAGCCGATTTTATATATACGTTCGAACATGCTTCTCATTTTTTCTTCTTTGAATATGATGAAAATATTTTGAATTTTTAACATAAGTATTGTTTTCTCATAATACCTATGTCGTTAAAATTGTGAGTAAATGTTAATATTCTGAAAAATGTCGATAGTCGTTCTACTCTAGGGAATTTTCACGACATTTGTACGTATAATCGAATGCTACTTGTACAAGTGTATTAAAAATACTAGAGTATATTTTGTTTCGCGCAACTTAATTTTTATCGCACTCACAAGTAGGAGTTGCATTTTGATTAATTCTTTTTCTTTATTACAGCTTGTAGAACAGTAATATCGTATTTTTTACTTAATTGAGGGTGTGGGATGGGTTTGGATGTGAGTGTTGTGTCTTTATCTACATCCATACCCACCCACACCCACAACCACCCTCAAGAACCATGCGTTCCATTCAGCCTGTTAAAATAAAAGCACTCATTGAAGAACCTATCAACAACCATTATCAAAGCTGTACAGCTATAAATTATTTGTGCAATTCAAGTAATATTTCTATAGCACCTCATATTTGTATGTAATTTTTCTTTCTCAATTTAGAAGAAGAAGTTAACATCAATGGATTACTGGTGTCATTGCAAAAATTGAGTACTACACCAAATTCAGGAAAACTATTAGTAAGTTAATCAGGGCCTTATTGTATAGAATGAGTGTTATTTTCACGTCGTTCGTTCTTATTAGTACTAATTAACATCTATAAAGAGCGAGTAGAAAAATCAGAGAAGAGAAGTTGCTAATAGTTGTTAAGAATACATGACTATTTACTCATTAGAGGGATATATGGAATTAATCAATTGTTTTTTAGAAAGCACTTACTGAACGCCATTCGCCACAACCAGCATTTTTGACTGTACGAGACTCTGAAGATGAATCTCTTGCATGGGAAAAACTTACAAATGAACTAGTAGTTTATGCAGCCACAATATGCATACCTGATTGGCTTTACGACTGCATGATGGAACGCCCAGAACTTTGCGAAAAAAAAGTTTTACAAAATCCTTCGTTTGATGACATGGAACGCGTTGTTCATCTTTGTGGAAAATAGGCGAAACCAAAAATTTTGTAAAGCATATTGGGAAATACACAGCTGAGGACAGAAGCAGTATGATTACTAATATATTATTTATACTATAATAATCTAGTTTTCATTTATTATAGGTCAACTACGATCGATATTTTGCGACTTAAGAAAAAAAGCGAAGGAATCAAAGCCTAACCAATTCACGAACAGGATGAAAGTATGGCGAATTCTATCTGGTAAATGCATGAAGGTGAGTCGAATAATTGTTTAGCATCTTATTTTAACTTTTCTTGTTTAGGTTCAGGATGAACGCATCAAAATGGAAACACTGTGCTCATTTTTACTTGGAAAAGACGGTAATAGTGGTTATTATTTCATCGGTCTAGTCGAGAACCGTATTGATGAGGAAAGGCGGGTGACCAGTGAGTATCAATTCTTTGAGAGAAATGCAAAATTTAAAATATATTCCTGTTTCTATTTAATCATTTAGGAAAATTTTTAAACAAATATATGGATGAACCTGTTGTTGACGAAAACGGATTACCAACCACGAAGAGGCTAGTCGCCAGTAAGACTTGTTTTGTAATCATGAATTGATATATAATTATAATATTGTGTATTATTTAGGTGGAAAAAATCACAAGACTTTGTCAGCAAAATCCATAGATTCCGATAGTGTTGCAAGATCAGGATATGATCGTAGAAGTAAAGCACACTATTTACGTTAATATTTCTATATCATTACAATAATGTATATAATCTGGAACCCAAATTATTTGATGGTTCAAGAGAAGTGACTCAACGGAGAGAAGGATTGCATCGAGATGGCCATCAGTAAAAAGGTAAGGTTTTATATTTTTAGTCATAAATAATTAATATAGATTCTTCTTTTAGCTGCTACAAGATACCGAAATGGCTCGCCTGAAGCAATGGCTGCAATCAATGATTTCGTTCAACGAATGAAACTGGCAGAAAAATCCGGTAGCATTGGACCGGAACTAGTTGATACGACGTTTTGGAAAATAATCCAGTATGGATGGTCAGCACCTTGTCCTCGACGCAGATGTGTTTATTGTGGCGTAGGAATAAACAAAACCAAATCGGATTGTTTGCTTCCAGCTCGGTACTGTAACTTAAAGAAACACGACAATAAATAGAAGATTTGGATAAAAACAGACAATCTTGTAATACGAGAATATGTAAAGCATTGACAGTAATGCTATGTCTTTTTTATAATTTTTTTCTCACGCAGAATAAATACATGAAATAATACATTTTATTTTTTTCTGAACAGAGATCGCGAGAATATTTGTGTTTGTCCTATAGCGACTTCTTCCATGGCAGTACGTCCATCTTTATTCAATAGCGATCGAACGACTCTATGATCTAGTAAAAGTTTGACAATACGAGGATGATTAAAACTACAAACAGCATGAAGACTTGTAGTACCACTGAGCTCGACTTGGTTGATTTTATCGATAGACAATGTTGGTAACAATTGTTGAACTATTTCAAAATCACCATTTCGGCATGCTTCATGAAGAGCACTCATATTCTTTTTTACTTCTTAAAACACATATCTTGTCAAGTATACTACTTATTTTGCAAGCTCGAGTTACGAATGTATACAAAAGGTTTGTTTTCAATCAAAATTCTATAAAATTAAACCTTCAATTTGAAACTCTAACGTCAATTCTGAACGTTATCATATATATTTTGAAATTTTCGAAAAAGAAAATTATTTGAATGCAACATTCAGAGATGAATCAACATGTGCAAAATAAATCCAATTGAGAGTCGAATAAAAACGACAGACATCATGCCTGCTTACGAATCTTGCTTAGCAATGGCTTTATATTTTTCATATTGATTTCAACAGCATGTTGCAATGCTTTGAACTAAATAAATTAAATAAACACCGTTAAATAGTGAAACAATTTTCAAGCTACTGTTTACGATTATCGAACTTAACGTACCTTGTTTATAGATTTAGAAGATGTTGCGGCAAATGTTTCACCAATTTGAACAGCAACAGTATGTAACGATTGAAATACTTCCAAAGTATTTTTCATTAATTGTTTTGTTTTATGGTGATTATTTGATTTTATATTAGAATTTTCATTTTGGATTATTTTTTGATGTAATTTATCAATTTCATTTGTATTATTTGCAATAAATACATTATATTGTCCATTACATGTTGGTTTAATAATAATTTGACGACTTTGATCGGGATTATTAATTATATTCTCTAATACAGCTTCACCAGTTATATTTATTATGGATGTATTTAATCGTTGGGGTATATAAATTATTGTTTCATTATTTGATAATAGAAATGTTTTATTAATACAATTGGCAATCATATGAAATGATGATGTTGTTGTATTGTGAAAATATTCTTTTAATTGTCCAATAACACCACGTGGATGTATACGAGATAATATTCGAACACGATTTAAACGTTCAGGACCATTTTGATTTGGAAATGTACCATTTGGTGAACCTGAATCATATAAACTCCAACTTGTCTCACAACCTGCTTGAAAACAATTATTTTTCCATGGCCATATTGCTGCAGATATCATTGCTTTATCTTGAGATTCAATAGTTGGAATTAATAATCTTTCATCAGCATCTGCACCACAACCAAATTCTGTGACTAAAATTGCACTTTGTAAACCAATAGATTCATTTAATGCTGATTCATATGCAAAACTAGAAAATGACATATATTTATTTATTTATCTTACAAAAAATATTAATAACATACTCGAACGATGGTGGATAATCTGATTCATTTAAATGTAATATACTATCAATTGTAAATACATGTGTGTAAACATGAGGAGAATAAACAATATTTTTATATGATGTAAATGGTGTGGAATGTTGAGGAGAAAAATCAAGTAAATTTCGAAAAGCAGTTGGTTCAACAAAAAATAAATGACGTTGATCATTAATTTGTAAATTAGTATAGGAACAGTTTGTTCCAGTTGGTGCAGATATTGAACAATCAGGTAAATCATCACGAACACCAGTTATTGCTTGTATAACACGTTTATAGAATGGATATAAATAATTACTTGAAAATTCATATTGATCAATGTGTGTCCCGGGCTGTGGTTCATTCATGATCTGTTTTTAATCAATCAATAAATAAATATGATTATTATATTGAAATTTTATTCAAAAGTACAACTAGATCGTTATCAGACTTGTCCTACTTCAGCCTCTTTCGTAACGCTCACGTTAGGATCAAAAGAGATATCATTAGATTTCAAATTAATAAAAAGAAGAGAAAATGATTACCTCATATCCTAACACTGCACTGTTATTTACGAATCTTTTTGCTAAAGAAGCAATAGCTCCAATATAATGATCTTGTAAACCGGGCCCAGGTGCATCTCCTTGTGGAATATTAGGTGGTACGGAATTGTTATAAAAATGATCAAATGCTTTCATCATTGCTAAATTTAGATTTCCAATACCAAACAAAGCTAATGCTGGCCAATCATCAGCCATAACTGCCCATTGTGGAGCACCATCTTGTCCATCAGATGATGTTAAATATGGTGGTATTTCATGTTCTTTATCACCAATTATATAACGAGAATATAAATCTTCATGCATATCAAGTATAACATAGACTTGTTCTTCTGATGCCCATTGAACTATCTACAAATATTAATATCTTTTAGCAAATTCTCGACATTCTAATATTAAAATATAAATACCTGTTCAACTCGTTGTAAATATATTTCACTATAATTTCCTGGTGTTGGTTCTAATGCACTCCAACTTAAACATAATCTAATCACATTAAAACTATAGAATAGAAAAAGAAAATGATGCTTTAATTAAATCGATTATTTTTGTTAATAAACTAAACAAACCCCCATTTTCTTATTTGAGCAAAGTCATTATGACTATTCCATTCATCACTGATATTATACATTCCTTTACCATAATCTATTTGACATGTTGGTGGTTGCTGATAAACATATTCATTAGATGGGCATTGACCATTATATAGTGAAGGATCAATTGGTCTATCTTGATCAGCCGGAATATTTCTTTGCTCTGTTTCAACATTAACACCACGTAATATTACATGACGATCATATTCATCAGCGATATAACCATAATGACCTTTACAAAAACAGAAATAAAATAAGAGATAAAAGAGGTTCTTTATTTTTAATTCTGATTAATTTTGTTAGACAAAATCGTACATATATGATAAGGAAAGAAATCGATAATTAATTTCTTTATGATTGTCTAATCCCTATACTATGTTTTCTGTTTCTCTAGTTCTTATGAACATAGCAGAAATTTAGAAGTTTGAATAAAAACAAGGTCCACACTATTTAATATACGTGTGACCTAGAAAGTAACCATTATCAATTTTATGTACATACACATGTTCTTTTTTCATGATACAAGAATATATAGAATCAGAAGAGTTCTACATTCTTTAAAGATACAAAAGCAGTTCATTTAATAGGTGACACACAACTTGAAATTGACAAACACTTTTTACCATATCAAATTTTTGAATTGGAAAGAGCTCAAGAAAAAAACTATCAAGGAAATAAAAGCTCTTAAATTCTCAAATAAAAAGTGCTACAACTCTTGTAGGAAAGCTTTTGAAAAACAGAGCAAACTACATTTCTATAATAATACTTTAACCCGTGTAGTTCAGCTTATTTTACTAAATATTTGAGAAGAACATTTTTCAAGCGTTAAATAGTTACCATAGAAACAATACAACTCTCATCCTAGATAAATGTATAATGTAGAAAATTTTGGAGGCTCTATTAAATATGTATTAGTAAAACTCTTTGAATATTATTGAGTTATATAAGAGAGTATTGTAGTCTAATAGATGTCCGTTATTAAAGTCTACGATAGTCATCAACTGTATAAAATTTAATAAATCTTTTACCTGCTGTCAAGTCTGGTTGAACAACATGAAGCCACAGCATTGATGAATCACATTTGATCATAAACATCTTCATCGAAAAGATGAGTATTGTCAGCTCTATTTCAAGTAACTTGAACATATTTATTATACTCGTTGTTGTACCTACAAACAGCATGTAGAATACTAAGAATTATATCATTCACAAATATAGTATACAAATCTCAATGGTCAGAAGAGTATGATCACATATGGTGGAATAATTTAGACTGATCGATTATTTCAAGATAATACAAAAGTTTTTGATGTTGATTTTATCTATAGAACAGATAGGAAAAATTTATAGTGAACCTATGTTATCAGTATGCTCGATGCTATTTGTGCGTGAAAAACCTTAATTTTGACTTCACTATTTCTCATGACTGAGTTCCGAACAAAACTTGATATTCTAGATCGATTTAGAATTCAGCAGTTCCTGACTATATTTCTATGATGTTAGAGCGAAAAATATCTAGAATATTGAGTAGTTCGTAGATTACAATGTAGATTGATCTTGTCTCATTGCATGTTTTAGCAAAATATAAACTTACTGTTCGTTTGATGGAGAAGGTTATTTTCTGAGAGCCTTTTAATATGTCTATAAAATTTTAGTCAATATTGATATGAAATGAAAGAAAAATGCAAATTTTTTCTATTTTTTTTTACAATTTATATTGAAAGGAAACCATATGTTTTATTTCACACATTTACAATGCACATCATTTCGATTTACAAAACATTTAATACGCGATAGTATAAATATGATTGCTGCACTTGTCTCTTCTTTCTTAATCTATATCATATTTCTTCAACATATATTTGAGTTTATTATGATAAGAATTCTTTTTTTAAATTCTCAATTTGTCTTTAATATGTTGGATTGTACGAATAGTACTGTTTTATATGAACTTTTTCTCTTTTATGACTCTTTGAATTATAAATAGTCTGAGACAATCAATTCGAAGAAGAAATTGAACCAGATAGGCAACGTCTATTCATATTTGTTTCTAGCAGAACTTATCTTTTAAATAAAAACAGAGATCTTGCATATTATTTGAATACTGAACGTTATTATTATCACCGTTACTTGAAGAAAAAAAAACATACTATGAACATTCTGTTATGCTACTAAACAAATGCTTTTCTGTTGTTTTGTTATTTTTTTAAGTAGCAAATGTAGTTTGTTTATTCTGAAAATATTCTGTTTTTTTCCATATGAAGGATTTTAGTGTATATAAATCTCGAAGAAGTGAATGGTAATTTTAGTTTTCACACATCTTCCTATATTATCAAACTGTATTTATCATAATTTTGAGGGTGGATGTTGAATGAATACAATATTAGTAGGCACACTCTCAAATTCTTAAACATCCATACCACCACTTTTAAATAATAGCAAAATCAATATATAAAAAAATCGAAACATTTGTATAGGTATGGTAATTCATTTTCTACTTTCATCCTTACCACGAAATTGAAAAAAAAAACAATTTTTGTCTCGAAATAAAAGTGGTTGATGTTTTTCTTTTCTACAGTGGTATTTTCGCTGTTTTCATTATTGTAATTGGCATATGTGATGCAGAATGAGAAATAAACTCAAAACTGATTACTTTTGCGTAGTAATCTGAATTCAAACATATCGTCTCTTAGTAGATTTCTCACATGGCAAAATTTTACTCTTATTTGCAATAACAACGCTTATTGCTTGAAAAAAGTAATGCATTAAATTTGCTAAAACAAATAAAAAAATATTCTGCGCAAAATGATCGAGAATAAATATTAAATCATTTTCTTTCTTGGTCATTATTACGTCTTTCGTACCATTACGTGTAGACTATTTTTCTACTTCGACTAGCTATGGATGAACAAATTTCTATTGCAACATATCAATCAGTTCGTTATCGTAACGCTATCGTACAATTTGAAACAGTAACTCTTAATGGTATCGAATGTTTAGTTTTGGAAGACGTTCGTCAACGTTTTCCTACAGTGACATCGTTATGTATTGAAAACACCCAAATAGCATTTCTTCGTGACGAAAATGGACAACGTTCAGAGCCTCAACGTATTAAAGCATATAAAGATGTACTTATTGATGCTTTTGATCCCGAAGAACAATACAATGATTATATTTATACTCGCATCGATCGTCTCGATAAAAACGTGCATAACATACAAAAAACAGTTGACCTTATTCACATCAATTCACAGGAGACTTTGATTACGACGAGACAAGCTATGACGCAAAATTATGAGCTTCATGAATATACTACTCCTCGTTATTTTTATATTCTACCTATAGAAGATTATAATCGAGGAGTTCTAAATTCTGTAAAAGGTTACTTTCAGCATCAATATAAATTATATTTCCTATGTGACTGTTCAGACAATCCTACACAACGGCATGTTGCATTACATGAAGGTTATGTAGTTAAGAAACCAAAAGAATTTATTGTGAAGTATGGACCTCACCTACGCACAACATTAGGTATCGTTCGAATTCTACTTGGTGTCGGAATTAGCATTCTTCCGCTAGTCGACAACATACCAGGTTTTACAAATACCAAGTCCATTCCTCGAGTAGGTCCATCAACGACTACTAGTGTTAACAATCAACTAGATATGATGACCGCAGCAATTCAAGAAATTGAAACTACAACTCCGCCTGTAGATACATCACAAACTACGACAAGTACTTCTCAAAAGACTGCGTTACATGGTGCTGAACTGCGAGAATTGGAAAATTATTTAGAAAACGTTGATACGAAGAAAAGTCTGGGTAATTTACATCGAATGATTAGTGACGATGGTCATGTTCGATGGGTATGTTTAGAACATTATGATACGATTAGTTTTAACAATAAACTATCTGAAAATATCCATCAATTTGAAGCTTTTGGAGGAACATTTAATCGAGAAACAAAAGAAGCGGTTATAGAGGACAAATATCTGACTAGTGATCATGTCACAATATTATGTAATCTATTAAAAAAAGGATTTACCTTTGCTATTTTAAAATTAGTGAAATGTTCATTAAAGAATACAACTGATCTTGATCAATTATTTGACGTTACTATTAATCGTTCTTCTATTTGTCGTGTAGACATTTTCGATCTTACAGTTCAATCTCTAATAGGAAGTCCAAAATGTATTTGCAAATATATGTCGATACATACTAAAGATCATGTCGTAGAAATACAAGCACCGGGACGCTATCAAAACATAGATTTGAAAATCTTTCATCAACTTTGGTCTCAAAGCAAGATACGTCGAGTATTTCGCATTCATGGTTTTGAAGTTTTTCCAAATGATGAAAAAACATTTTGTGGGGCTACACAAACAACATCAGACTCGAAAATATTGTCCATCAGTCATCTGCATAATATCGAATTTCTGAATATTCTCCTTACAAATGATTTTTCAATCAGTCAATTAAAACTGAACTTCTGCTTCAGTTCGCCTACTATTATGATTAATTTTTGTCAAACATTGAAAAAAAACCAAACACTGCTAGAACTTGATATTATGAGTTATACTAGTTTTGATAATGAACAAGTCATGATTGAACTGATGAAGTCATTACGCAATCATAAATCATTGAAAAAGGTTAGTCTTTTCATTTCTGACATCAAATTATCGGACGAAAAAGAACGTTGTTTGATTGATCTGCTATTGAATGACTCATTTATTTCTTGTTTATGCTTATCAAATTGTTTTGTTTCGCATGAACTTACAGAAGCACTTATTAAAGCTTCAGAATCAACAAAACCTTATTCATTCACTTCACTTGAAATGTATCATTATCAGATGGATGATGCAGATAAATCGAAACTCCAATTACAGCATAATGAGAAGAAATTAGCAAATCTATTATTTTCAAAGGAACATTATTGGTGCAAGGCCTTGAACAAAATGCGATATCAGTTTCAACAAGGTAAGTATCGTTTACCTTAAAATACTAACATCTTATACAACAATCGATTGTCGAATTTTTCGATACTTGTTCATAACTTTCATGATATATTTTAATAACTACTTATCATTAAGAATTTCAACTGAACAGGTAAAACATCCTCGAGCAAATATACACCGTTTGAGATACAGTAGTCGATCTATTTCATCATGTAGTCTTAGTATACTATTGTATTAGAAATCCAACAGTTTCCAGGCATCTAAAGAAAATACCATGATATCAGGATGTGATGAGTAGTGCTGAAGCCAAGGAGAAAAAAAGCGAGAATTCAATCAGAGTGCACAAGACAAATAGAATCAAGACGATGAGATCCCTTACTCGTTAAATTTGTTGGTAAAAACTCATTGTTATAGATTTTTCATGGTATATTTTGTGATAGGCAAGAAAGTTAATCAAATGGCCATAGCTCGAGACATAGAGCCTCGTGGAAAGAACCTTTGTGACATCTTTATCTACACTATGAGCTCGATAGATTTCCTTTTCATTATATTCATGCCGATCAAATCGTTCTATTTTTCTTTATTTATACTACAGAACTTATACAGTATCAAAATGTGAAAATCGATAAAATCATTCAAGAACAAGACGCTTCTCCCGAAATACTGTTAGATGGAATATTTACTTCGGATCGAGATATGGAAATTGCAGTTAACCTTGCACTTCTCTTTAAACAATGCAAACAACTCTCACTAGCAGATAATAAAATTACATCAGTTGGTGCTCTAATCTTATGTGATGCATTAAATGATAACACGTCTCTAAAGGAATTGTCCTTAAACAATAATGATTTATCTGATGTTGGCATTTATTTATTATGTAAGACGTTAACTAATCATAATAGTACACTTGAAAAACTTAGTCTTGCATCCAATGGTATTACCGATGAAGGTGTCAAATATCTAGTTCAAATGCTGAAAATAAACAAAACATTAACTGAACTCAATCTATCGGAAAATGACATAACGAACGAGGGAGTGAAATTGTTAGCCGATGTTATTCAGGATAACAAGACCACGATTGAAATATTCTGTTTATCTGGAAACAAACTGTTAACTGATGTGAGTGTTCCTTGTCTGGTTTCAATGATCCAAAAAAGCACATCGTTAAAGAAGCTCATCATACTCAATTGTTCTTTATCTGATGGAAGCAAAGCACGACTTCAAAAGAAACAGAAATCAAAAGAGGCTTTTGAATTGAGTGTATGATCATTGATTAGTTTGTTTGTGTTCATCAATAAATGCTTTAGAAATACGAAAAATTATTCGATCTTTTTTAC